AAGCCTACCAGAAAACCAGAGAGGCGAACAGCCGCTCTGGGTCAGAGCCCCAAACATGCCGCTTCTATGATGAGCTGCATGCCATTTTAGGGGGTTCAGCCACCACTACCCCAGCCGTGTTGTTTGACTCCTTCAATGGAGATGGAGGCAATACGGAAGCAGGTTTTGGGGACGAAGAAGATGATGATGAGGAGGAGGTTGTAGATAGCTCACAGCAAGCAAGCAGAGAAACCGGTTTTCCCGACAGCCAGGAACTGTTTCTCACCCTAGACCTGGAGCCCGTACCCCCCGAACCCACCCAAGGCTGCCTCCTGGACCCAGCAGGCAGAGAAGGGACCTCTGGTGAGTGTACCTTTTAAAATACTATACATGGTTTAAAAGCAAGCATGTGAAAGGATTACTTTGCCCTGGCATTTGCGGTTCTCCTAGATGTAGTCCTAAAGCCTTTGCAAAAGGTTTCTGGGGAGGGCAGCCTTATTGCGTCCTTCATGGTAGGACACTTTACCACTCCAGGCCAGTAACACGTACTCGGGAATCATTGTAGAACAAAGCATTGCAGTGTATGTTTGCTGGCATTCAAACAACATCCGTTCTTTATCTCTCTGTGTTATCCTCAGGAGAGTGAGATATAATTCATGGTCACCTGGTTGAAATAGAGTGCTTTTCTTCAGGGGACACTCAGAGGAGCCCATTCCTGCTGGGCTGTTTGCCTGTGGCTAAACAGAAATGTTCCCCGCTGTTAGCCACAGGGAGGGGGGAAGGTTGAGGGGGTAGTCACGCGGTGGGAGGAGGCAAAATGCGACCTTGTAACGAAAGCACATGTGCTATGTATGTAATGTTAACAGCAAGGTTTACCCTGAAAGAGTGTAGCCACTGTTTTATAAAATGTGTCTTTTTAAATACCGCTGTCCCTTTTTTTTTTCTCCACCAGCTGCATGTGTTTCAATGATCACAGGATCTTCTCCTTCCCAGAGGCTAGTGAAGCTTAGAAAGAAAAAAAAACGCACTCGCGATGAAATGTTCTCCGAGCTCATGCTGTCCTCCCACACTGACAGAGCACAGACGAATGCGTGGAGGCAAATAATGTCAGAGTGCAGGAAAGCACAAAATGACCGGGAGGAGAGGTGGCGGGCTGAAGAGAGTAAGTGGCGGGCTGAAGAGAGTAAGTGGCGGGCTGAAGACAGGGCTGAAGCTCAAATGTGGCGGCAGCGTGATGAGAGGAGGCAGGATTCAATGCTGAGGCTGCTGCAGGACCAAACCAGTATGCTCCAGTGTATGGTTGAGCTGCAGCAAAGGCAGCTGGAGCACAGACTGCCACTGCAGCCCCTCTGTAACCAACCGCCCTCCTCCCCAAGTTCCATAGCCTCCACACCCAGACGCCCAAGAACGCGGTGGGGGGGCCTCCGGCCAACCAGCCACTCCACCACAGAGGATTGCCCAAAAAAAAAGAAGGCTGTCATTCAATAAATTTTAAAGTTGTAAACTTTTAAAGTGCTGTGCTTAAAGTGCTGTGTGGCATTTTCCTTCCCTCCTCCACCACCCCTCCTGGGCTACCTTGGTAGTCATCCCCCTATTTGTGTGATGAATGAATAAAGAATGCATGAATGTGAAGCAACAATGACTTTATTGCCTCTGCAAGCGGTGATTGAAGGGAGGAGGGGCGGGTGGTTAGCTTACAGGGAAGTAGAGTGAACCAAGGGGCGGGGGGTTTCATCAAGGAGAAACAAACAGAACTTTCACACCGTAGCCTGGCCAGTCATGAAACTGGTTTTCAAAGCTTCTCTGATGCGTACCGCGCCCTCCTGTGCTCTTCTAACCGCCCTGGTGTCTGGCTGCGCGTAACCAGCAGCCAGGCGATTTGCCTCAACCTCCCACCCCGCCATAAACGTCTCTCCCTTACTCTCACAGATATTGTGGAGCACACAGCAAGCAGTAATAACAGTGGGAATATTGGTTTTGCTGAGGTCTAAGCGAGTCAGTAAACTGCGCCAGCGCGCCTTTAAACGTCCAAATGCACATTCTACCACCTTTTTGCACTTGCTCAGCCTGTAGTTGAACAGCTCCTGACTACTGTCCAGGCTGCCTGTGTACGGCTTCATGAGCCATGGCATTAAGGGGTAGGCTGGGTCCCCAAGGATAACTATAGGCACTTCAACATCCCCAACAGTTATTTTCTGGTCTGGGAATAAAGTCCCTTCCTGCAGCTTTTGAAACAGACCAGAGTTCCTGAAGATGCGAGCATCATGCACCTTTCCCGGCCATCCCACGTTGATGTTGGTGAAATGTCCCTTGTGATCCACCAGAGCTTGCAGCACTATCGAAAAGTACCCCTTGCGGTTTATGTACTCAGCGGCTTGGTGCTCCGGTGCCAAGATAGGGATATGGGTTCCGTCTATAGCCCCACCACAGTTAGGCAATCCCATTGCAGCAAAGCCATCCACTATGACCTGCACATTTCCCAGGGTCACTACCCTTGATATCAGCAGATCTTTGATTGCGTGGGCTACTTGCATCACAGCAGCCCCCACAGTAGAGTTGCCCACTCCAAATTGATTCCCAACTGACCGGTAGCTGTCTGGCGTTGCAAGCTTCCACAGGGCTATCGCCACTCGTTTCTCAACTGTGAGGGCTGCTCTCATCTTGGTATTCATGCACTTCAGGGCAGGGGAAAGCAAGTCACAAAGTTCCATGAAAGTGCCCTTACGCATGCGAAAGTTTCGCAGCCACTGGGAATCGTCCCAGACCTGCAACACTATGCGGTCCCACCAGTCTGTGCTTGTTTCCCGAGCCCAGAATCGGCGTTCCACAGCATGAACCTGCCCCATTAGCACCATGATGCATGCATTGGCAGGGCCCATGCTTTCAGAGAAATCTGTGTCCATGTCCTGATCACTCACGTGACCGCGCTGACGTCGCCTCCTCGCCCGGTATCGCTTTGCCAGGTTCTGGTGCTGCATATACTGCTGGATAATGCGTGTGGTGTTTAATGTGCTCCTAATTGCCAAAGTGAGCTGAGCGGCCTCCATGCTTGCCTTGGTATGGCGTCCGCACAGAAAAAAGGCGCGGAACGATTGTCTGCCGTTGCTCTGACGGAGGGAGGGGCGACTGACGACACGGCTTACAGGGTTGGCTTCAGGGAGCTAAAATCAACAAAGGGGGTGCCTGTACATCAAGGAGTATTTCAGGCAGGACTGCACGGAGGGTTCCAATAAGAAATGGTGCACCTAAGTTATCGTTCTTATTGGAACAAGGAGGTTAGCCTGGCCTCTGATTGATACATGGCTAGATTTACCTCGCTGCACCTTCTCTGTGAGTGACTGCAGTGTGATCTAGAGGAATGAGTCCCCTAGACAGGGGAGGAGGCAAATGAGTACAAAACAAATCTCGTCTATTTCTTGTTTTGACCCACTCCATCTATCTTTTACATCTTTGGCTGGCAGCAGACGGTGCAGAAGGACTGCATGCCATCCACATCTCATGGCTGCCCGGCAGAAGATGGTACAGTACGACTGCTAGCCATCTTCATCTCTTGCCTGCCTGGCAGAAGATGGTACAATACAACTGCTAGCAATCCTCATCTCTTGCCTGCCTGGCAGAAGATGGTACAGTACGACTGCTAGCAGTCCGTATCGCCTGCCCGCTCACCATAAGACGGTTCAATAGGACTGACTGCAGGACTAAAGAGAATGACCTGGTCAAGTCACTCCAAATTTAGTCCCTGCACCCATGTCTGCCCAGGCGCTCCCAGCCGACGTGGCCAGGAGCACCTCGGACATGACGATGACGGCTACCAGTCGTACTGTACCGTCTGCTGCCACAAGGCAAGGGGTTGCTGCTACTGTGTAGCAATGCCGTACCGCGTCTGCCAGCACCCAGGAGACATAGGGTGACGGTTACCTGAGCGGGCTCCATGCTTGCAGTGGTATGGCGTCTGCACAGGTAACTCAGGAAAAAAGGCGTGAAATGATTGTCTGCCCTTGCTTTCACGGAGGGAGGGAGGGAACGGGGGCCTGACGATATGTACCCAGAACCACCCACGACAATGTTTTAGCCCCATCAGGCATTGGGATCTCAACCCAGAATTCCAATGGGCAGCGGAGACTGCAGGAACTGTGGGATAGCTACCCACAGTGCAACGCTCTGGAAGTCGACTCTAGCCTCGGTACTGTGGAAGCGCTCCGCCGAGTTAATGCACTTAATGCACTTAGAGCATTTTCTGTGGGGACACACACACTCGAATATATAAAACCGATTTCTAAAAAACCGACTTCTATAAATTCGACCTTATTCCGTAGTGTAGACATACCCTAAGAGGCGTGACCTGCCTCTTGCATCTCAATTGGGTGTTAATTCTGAAACCTACAGGAGATAATTTAATTGTCAACATTATTGTTTCACTGCTGATTGCTTTTGCAGAAACATCCAACACTGTGATCTTCCCACCCCAAGTTGCCTCCTAAATCTACCCAGATGCCAACTCCCCCATTTTTAATGTATCTGAAGCTGTCACAGGTTCACAAGGCCTTGTCTGTAGGCAAAATTTTAAACAGATTCTTAACTTTTTGTAGTAAAAGAGAACTGACCTGATCTGTAAGAATTACTACATTATGATGCAATATCACTTTGTTTCCTTTCTGTCCTTCCCAAAGACTTTTGGACAGATGCCCTGTCTTATCTGCTGAAGCATAAAAAGATAATATCAGATATTCTACCAAAGGACAGCAGATAAAACTGACAGCAATGCAGCGCAAGACAGAATACACTACACTCTTTATTATAGCCTGCTGTGTGTGCTTTTGTTAGTCTTGACCCTTCGGTAACCCTTTGCCAAGAGCAGTGTGAGTTTAGGTGCTGGGGTAGGAAGCCAGTGTTCTTGGAAGATGAGATTAGCAACTGTATTCTTGAAAGACTGGAAATGTTTTGTTTGATTGGTATTTGAGGAGTAAGTCTCTACAGTTGAATGTTCTTTTAATAGATATTCCTTACTGTTATCTGCACAGGTCCAATAGTGTGAAGAACAATCTTTGTTTCACTTGAATTAAACTCCATGCCGATTCCACGCTGCAAATCTCCAGTCGCTCAAAGATGACGTTAGAAGGAGCAGCCTCTTGCTATCTTAACAATGGAAGGTCAGTCTTGTGCTAATACAAAGATTATCCAGCAAGTACCCTCTGGATCAAGTCCTCCACCCTTCCTTAACTTGCTGAAAATACATCGAGAACTTTTAGTCAGCAAAATCCGAAACACCCAGTGTTTGATTGACAACTTGATCAAGAATGAATACTTCTCTACTGAAGATGCAGAAATTGCCGCACAGTTTCCTATTCAAGCCGACAAGGTATATCCTTATTTCACTAGACAGCTTGAACTTTTTATTAGCCATGTAAAACCCCACAAGTTGAAGTGTATCTGGTAACTTTAGCTCAACTATCTTTCAGACTTCTATTGTGTTTGATACACATTGGGCTGAGTTCCCATCTCAAGTATCACTGCCACTAGTTGGCACTCTAGAGGGTAGGCTCAGCACAGAGGCTGAACATTGGCCTGCTAAACCCAGGGTTGTAAGTTCAATCCTTGAGGGGGCCATTTAGGGAACTGGGGCAAAAATTGGGGATTGGTCCTGCTTTGAGCAGGGGTTTGGACTAGATGACCTCCTGAGGTCCCTTCCAACCGTGTTATTCTATGATTCTGTGAATGGGTAGGGTGACTGAACAATTCTCTCACACCTAGAGGTGACCCTGCCAATGAGGAGGGTCATTGCTGAGACAATCTAAGGAAGTTTACACAGTTGCTATCTTTGCTCTGTGGATAACCAGAGAACACCAGGCAGCAAGGCTGCCAGTCCAGCACCTTTGACAAGCACTGGATTCACATGGAAAATAAATGAATGTTTCAAGACCATTATATAGGGTTGAAAATCATTGGTGTATTTGAGCAGTTAACAGCACGGGGGTGGGAATGGGGTAGCTAGACTACTCGGTTACCAACAAACCGAGGACCTGAATGTCAAACTACAAAAGCAAACCCTGTGGGATGGGACTTTCAAAAGCACTCAATGTTGTCCAACTCTGATTTTGTTTTCTTTACCATCAAGACCCAGTATTCATTTAGGGTTTGAGCCAACTCCCACTGAAGTCAATGGTAGCCTTTCTGCTGATTTTAGTGGGAGATGGATTGTGTCCTCATGCCCTGGCAATTAATCTCTGTAAACCTGTTTGTTTGCAGTTATAAGAAAAGCTCTAAGGACATAAATTTACTAAAAAATCGGTGATATGAGCATATTTTTAATTGTACACCTGTACTCTTTGGAGCATTGTTACCCTGCAAAATACTTAAGAGGGACGCAGAGTTTATTTCACTGTGACACAGGAGGGATCATAAATTGGTCCTAGTTTAAAGGGGGGAAAGGGTTCATTTTAAAATACTCTTCTCTTTAAAGACCTAAGTGCATTCTGTATCCTTCTTCATGAAATTGGAAAAAACCTTGATATCCTGACACATTTTGGTTTTAGATCTCTGTCTCTGGGAGCAAATATTAGCAAAAATTGCTTGGGTTTCCAATTCTTCCACAAGAGAAAATGTTCTAGGCATTTTTTCCTGTTAGTGATTTAATAGACTACCTGACTCTGACTTCCCTTATGAACCAGTTATGCAGCTTTAGAGGTTTCAGATGTGTGTCACAGCTAGAGAAAAGTGAATGACAAAAGATGCAGAATCCTGGGCTTCATCAATGTGCAGATTTCCCTAGGATAATAACTCTTGTTGGTTAATGGACATTGTAACTGTGGTGCTTACTCTGTGTAGCTAGCCAAAGCTGGGAGTTGAAGGGTGGTGCATTGTATGATCATCTTGGGTTCTTTTTTTGTTCAGTAGTATAATAAAACAGTCAGTATGATCATCTTGAGTTCTCTTTTTGTTCAGTAGTATAATAAAACAGTAAGTCATTTACAGAGGGGAGCTCTCAGCAGAGGCAACGTGTACTTCACAGGACCAGGGTGAAGTTCAGTTTTTGGGCCTGATCTCCCACAGAGAATCCTGCAGAAGGGGCCAGAAGTGACTGAAAACTCAGGGATGGAAAAACCCACAGGAGGCAGCTTGGAGGGAAGGATCCAGTGAAGCCCACCCCACCCGCTCCATATTATTTGTCAGGGGAGCAGGGTTTGACCCTAGAGAATGAGCTGCAGGACCATACCTAGACCCTGTGGTGTTCATGGGCATCTACAAGAGGCCCAGCCTGTCTTCATGGAGGACCCATGCATCCATTACCTCTCTGTGCCCATAGAAATTCCTGACAGTGCAGTTCCATTGGGCTAAACTATCAGGAACTCCTTCCCCATGGCTCCCTCTTACGCCCCACTTCACCAGGATTTTCCTTAAAGGAGAATCCCCACTATCGAGGGGTCTTTGTGGAAGAGGCTAATGCAGCCCCTGGAGTTGTTTCCTGATGCGACCATCCACGTTTATGTTTACCAGGGCTCCATTCTTTGTTCCTTTTCTTTTTGAATTGAAACGATTTTTAACTGTAAGCTTTGTTCACATGGAATATCTCCTATTTACAGTTTTCTTATTGAGTATCTGAGGTGGAAGGAAAAAACTGATTGTCTGAGGAATGTTTGCTGGCTACAAGTAGGTTTTATAGATGTTCTGTCATAAGAGAGTTGCCCCACTTTTGCAGATCCTGAACGAGAAGGTGCAGATTTCCAGACCAGAGGATTTGGGTAAAGGTCTCTAATATCTAAAAATCCTCTTTTTGCTGTGCTCTGGTGTATTCTATCCTGCATTGTGGGCTCTCTAACTCATGAGAGGCCAGAGAAAAGTTGCCTCAGAGATTAAGGAATTTGGAAGTCCTTTGCCTACTGAAGAAATTGAGCTTGTGACTAGCAGGAATGGAATCCAGTCCATGGAGGAGTATCCTTAGAATGAAGGCTGTACTCTCTAGAAACACTTGCACTAAGGTTGTCACGTGCTGGTTGTACAAAAATCAAACTAGCCCTGGCCCTCTAGATCTACCCACCAAACCTAACCCCTTCCATCTAGTAGCTGGAGTCAAACTTTTTTGTTAGTGGGTGTGAACATTAACTCTCCTATGGCTGCGGAATGAGAGGGGCATAAAGCATTGCGTGCACACGCACGCTCTCTCTCACCCCCCACCCAATCCCCCATAGCATGAGCAGGGAGAGGTGACCTGGCAGAGTTAAACTGCTATGCTTAAAGAAGGAAGAGTGCTTGTTTGGTTCTGCATTCAAGTCCAGGGAGACATTCTGCTGTCCACACTGCTATTCAGGCTAGATTCTGATATAAAATTAAATAATGCAATTTAGCCTCAGAAATCAGAGGACCAGGCCAGGAGGTCAAAAATCAGTCCTCTGGTTTCATTTAATATGGGCAAGATTTGAAATCTCCTGCATGACTGTGGTGACCACCCAGACCAGGAATTTCCTTTGCATTCTACACTATGGAGCACTGTGTCCCTTATCTTTATGGCTGGTCTATGTACATACAGTAGCTGTAGTGATGAGCCCAAATTAAAACCTCTGATCCAAACCAGATCAAACCAGAGTTGCAGATCCAGCCTCTTTGTAATGCCAGAATCCAAACACTCAGTCCAAACACACTGAAGTTTGGGATAGTTCAGGTTCAGATCCAGATTCTGACATCCCAGCTTGGGAAAGTAGACTCTAGACTTTGATTGGGGTCCCATTTCCAATCCTGAAGCATCTCAAAGCATTTCATAAATGTAACTGATCCACAATCCTATGTATTGCTAACATTCTACATGGTATTTCTTCAGGTTCGTAAAATTCTGGATCTGGTTCAAAGCAAAGGAGAAGAAGTTTCAGAATATTTCATCTACATCCTGCAAGAGGTCTCTGATGCGTATTATGAACTACAGCCTTGGTTGGATGAAATAGATTTCCACCCTTCACAGAATATTCAAAATAAACCTGTTGTAAATACAGATCCAGGTAGGAAAAGGTGTAAGAGCCAATATGCAAGTCAATTCTCTGTAGAAAACATGTCTCCAGAGAAATGTGTGTTAATATTAACCAGGTTAATTTTGTCTATTGATTAGCCTCACTGTTTGTCCTGATTTTCGCAGCCTCAGGAATCAAGCTTTAAAAATATGTAACCAGGGATAAACCCTACATTGTGGTTCTTGTTTTCAGTCTGAGTAATATGGGGTGAGATTTTTATCCCCCCTACTATTGTCTGTGGCAACATACAGGATCTGTAGAAACCAGAGCGCCAGCTAGGGAAAATACCATGGTGAATGCATTGTGTAGGGCAGCTGTAGGCTTCCTTATACAGGCCTCTTTACAAAGGTATATAGGGGGCAGGGCATCTAGAATGCAGCACTGTGGGGATCCTGCATGGTGCTGAGACAGGCTTCTGGAACTTAGAACAGCCCCCTCTATTATCTAAGTAAGTTATGCTGAAGGCCATTTTAGACCCCAAAGCATGGCAGAATCATGAGGGAATACAGGTGGATTAAAGTCACCTTAGTCCTCCCCCATAGCGCTGCAAGCAGTACAGTCATGTGTACCACTCCCATTTAAATATTTGAAATTAATTCACTCCAAAAGTATTCGGTTTTAGTGATCAGCTACGGGCAACTTTTAAAAAAAAGATACTTAAAACAAAATAATGAGAGAGCTACCTTACTGAAGCCAGGAGGGGGGAAAAAGGAAAAATTTCAAAAAGCTTACCAGGGAGTCAGATGAAACAGCTACACTGTGGTACGTCCGTGACAGGTTCCCTGCAGTGCAACCTGGAACTGGGATACCGCTGAGCCCTCTGTCCCACCAACCTGGATTCCCTCTCACACTGTGATGCTGTGACAAGCTGCAAACCGCTCCAGGTCCTGCATGTATACAGCTATCCACAGGCAGGGACACACCCAGCTGAGTTACATGAATGCTTTTCCCCAGCCACTCATGAACTAACAATAGAGAGGCTCCAGCCAATTCCCCACAGCTCCCCAGCCTAGGACCCCAGAGCCGTACTGTCTTGCCCTTGTTAGAAGCCCGGCCAGTGTGAGTTTATTACCCAGTCTGCCCTTCCCTCAATGTGGAGAGGACATGCACCAGCTCTTTTTAATGAGCAAATTTCCCAAGCGCTTCATCCAAAACGCACTGGTTTAGATAGAATATAAAATAGATTTATTAATTACAGAAAGATAGATTTTAAGTGATTATGAATAGTGAGTGTACAGATCAAAGTTGGTCACCTAAGAAATAAAAGTAGAATCACAATCTGAGTTCTATAAGATAGACAGGATTTGAATCAATCAGTGTCTCACCCTAATGAGAGAGTTCCCTCATACACAGGCTGGGATTCCTCTTTTCAGCCTGGGACCACCTTCCCTGTTCAAAGTCTTTGTTCTCCAGATTTGTTTCCTGGTGTTGAGTTGTGGGAGGAGAGAGGCCAAGTGCTGGTGTCACTTCCAGCTTGTTGGAAAGATCTTTTGCTATGATGTGAGTCAAGCAATCTCCATTGTCTATGTGCTTTCTCTGGGATGTCTCCGCTGTATACAGTTCTTGGTGTAGTCCTGATGAGTGTGGATTCCCCTTAATGGGCCATCATCAGTGTCTGGCTGCTCCATTGTTGTTCCTGAAAGACTGGTTGTAGGTGTTTCCAATCTTACAACGTATTTAAGTAACACACACATAGCAAAACTTTGTAACTTCACATACAGTGATAGCACATACAATCCAACAGGATATAATATTCAACAAATCAAGACTTTTAAAATGATATCTCACAAGGCATACTTTGTACAAAACCTATCACCATGATAAATATGGGGTGTTGGGGTGCTGCTTTGGGGTACAGAGTATCACAACATCAGATCAGCATTTTCAGGTTAACTGGAGCTTTCATTTTAACCATGTAACCTAATGACAGCAGTTTAAGCATCAGCATTAACTATTTCACTTTCAGTTGTTTTTGCAAAAACGTCCTGGGATTGTAGGTGGAGCTTGAGTAGTATGCCACCATGACTCCTGAATTACCCTTATAGATAAGAGGTTCTAACCAGGGTAATCCTGTGATAAAAATGCAGTGAGCTGTGTATCTAGGATCATCTCTAAAAAGAGGCAAAGAGTCCTGTGGCACCTTATAGACTAACAGATGTATTGGAGCATGAGCTTTCGTGGGTGAATACCCACTTTGCTGGATGCATGTAGTGGAAATTTCCAGAGGCAGGAATAAATATGCAAGCAAGAATCAGGCTAGGGATAACGAGGTTAGTTCAATCAGGGAGGATGAGGCCCTCTTCTAGCAGTTGAGGTGTGAACACCAAGGGAGAAGAAACTGCTTTTGTAGTTGGCTAGCCATTCACAGTCTTTGTGGGGGGGAGGGATAGCTCAGTGGTTTGAGCAGTGGCTTGCTAAACCCAGGGTTGTGAGTTCAATCCTTGAGGGGGCCATTTGGGATCTGGGGCAAATATTGGGGATTGGTCCTACTTTGAGCAGGGGGTTGGACTAGATGACCTCCTGAGGTCCCTTCCAACCCTGATATTCTATGCTTCTATTGTGCATTAAATAACAAGAAACAGATGCACTCTGTAGGGTTTGTGCGAAAGCAGCCAAAGAAAACGACTATGTAAACACTCAGCTGCTAGCTGAAATATCTTAACATTAAGTGTAGCCTGACAGCAGCCCAGCCACAATATTGGAATACAGCCCTGAGGGTTTAATTGAACGTGTATATTTTGTATACGTAGCTTTTATTTTTCTAAACCTCAAGCACTTTTTTTGTTTGTTTTTTATATATCCAAGAGTGTTGCATCCCCATCTCCGATCAGCCCTAGAACTGATTAGTCTTTAACACACGGCACAAAATAACTGCTCTGTGATTATCTTTGGCAAAGTGACAGTAGATTTTTAGTTATATTATTAAAGTTCAAATATCACATTTTTAGACAGCCCTTCATCTCAAAGGATGCCAAAGCATTTTCCAGACTATAAATACAAGACTCTTACCCCCCACCCCCTTCTGAAATGTAGACTCCTTTGCAATGAAAACACAGGAGCATTGCCCAGTGGTTATGGTTTTTATTATTCTATAAATTGTTTTTTAATCTGTTGAGGTGCCTAGAGCCTGGGATGATGATGATGATTATTAACAAACTAACAAATAGGCAAGGAGCAATGAGTGACAAAGATGCTCAAGGGGATGGAACTCAAGACATATGAGCAAAGGCTGAAGGAACTGGGTATGTTTAGTTTGGAAAAGAGGAGACTAAGCGGGGACATGATAGCAGTCTTCAAATACCTGAAAGGTTGCCATAAAAAAGATGGAGAAAATTTGTTCTTTCTTGCCGTTGAGGGCAGGGCAAGAGGCAATGGGTTCAAATAGCATAGCATAGCAGGTTTAGATTAAATCTCAGGGAAAACTTCCAAACTGTAAGAACAGTAGGACAATGGAACAGACTGCCTAGGGAGGTTGTGGAAGCTCCTTCACTGTAGGTTTTCAAAAGGAGGCTGAGTTGCCATCTGTCTTGGATGGTTTAGACACAACAAATCCTGCATCTTGGCAGGGGGTTAGACTAGATGACCCTTGCTGTCCCTTCTAACCCTGCAACTCTAAGAACAACTCAGTTAACTGAAACTGCCAGGGAAACTTACAGGGAAGAGGGTAACCATCTAAATTGTCTATGGCTTGGACATCCTGACCTTTGAAGAAAGGGCGGTGGGGTCTTTAGGCCTCATCCAAAAGATGGCAGCATCAAGCAACACAGTGCCCCCTAATACAGTGCTGTGCCACTGGGTCAGTACTGTCTGCAAGGGAAGCGGGTTTCCAGCTGAATCACCAGCACCATGTCCTAGGCAGCATCCTATCAAAGTGCTGGCAAAAAAGCCCTCTTGAGCCTGTAAAATGTAATTACACCAGGTCAAGACTGTGGGGAAAGCATTGTGAGCCAGGAATTCTAAAGGCACTCAGGAACAGCTAGCAATCAGATCTTTGCAATCGTCCTAATCTTTTAACTTGGCATGTAGAAAGTACCTGATGCTGTAAAAATAACTGCTCTTAGTTTGTTCCTTTGGACTGAGAAATCACACCCAAACCTGTTAGCCAATTCATGACTATCCAGAAAATAAAGCATGTAGTTGGAAAATGTTGCTAAGCAGAAATTATCTTTCTTATCCTGACAGGAGCTTTGCTAGTGCCTCTCTCTCAGATTTGGGCTGGACACATGCAAAGAAGAAAAAAAAAAGTTGTTTCCCCTCCAGAGAAACACTACTTGTCATTGAAAAAACCCAAAGAGCCTCTCTGAGGGCCCTGACGTTGCCTCTCTAGAAACTGTACAATATCAAAAGTCTCACCATTTCCCCCCTGTTTCTAGAGAGGCAACTTCAAGACAGCATGTATTTGATAAAATGTAGGAAGGAGTTAGCTGTAGCCTAAAACTCTTATATACCTAAGAGCCACAGGCATAAGTGTTTGCATATAGCCAGTCATTCCTCCTTAGTTCCGAAGCATGGCAAGACTTTCTATACTGTAGCCCTTATGTTAGAGTCGATCTCTTTTAATAATTAATTCTCTCTTTAGTCAGCAGGTACCGTCAGAAACTCAAATATGAATTGGCACGAGACACAAAGTTTGTTATGTCGTATGCTCAGAAGGAGGAAATGCTTCTGGAGGAAACCTATGCTGCTAGTCTTATCGAGCTGGTCAGTTATACCAATGAGAGCCTAGGCAAGGTGAGCCGCTTAGAAGATCTGTTTGATGATAGAATTGGGTTAATTAATGAAGATGGAGAGACGATCTACATCTTTGGTGATGCAGGTATTGGAAAATCCATTTTGCTACAAAAGATGCAAAATCTTTGGGCCAGAGGCGAATTGGATGTAGGTGCCAAATTTTTCTTCCGGTTCAGGTGCAGGATGTTTAGCTGTTTTAGGGAGAATGAAGCCATCTGTTTGAAGGATCTCCTGTTCAAATACAACTGTTACCCAGATCAGGACCCCGAGGAGGTATTCAACCACATCCTGCACTTCCCTCATACAGCCCTTTTCACATTTGATGGTTTTGATGAGATCCATTCCGACTTTGACCTGAGCAGCATCCCCGAGATCTGCTCACCCAATGAACCTACCCACCCTCTTGCCCTGTTGGTGAATCTTCTCAGCGGAAAGGTTCTTAAGGGATCCAGGAAAGTTCTGACAGCAAGGACAGGAACTGAGATCCATCAAAACATCATTAGGAAGAAAGTACTGCTCCGAGGGTTTTCCAGCAGTAACCTGAAGGAATACACTAAGAATTTCTTCAGAGATGAGGAGTGTCGGGTATTGATGTCGAACCAGCTGGAAGCAAACCCCAGTCTCTGCAGTTTGTGTTCAGTGCCTTTGTTTTGTTGGATTATCTTTAAATGCTTTGAACTCCTCCGTTCCATGTTCGACAGTCATGAGCTTCCAAACTACTCAGTTACACTCACAGATGTTTTTTTGCTCATGACTGAAGTTCACTTGAACCGAACTCTGAAAACAAATTTGCTGAAGAAGAACACCAGGAGCCAAGTGGAGACATTCAGGTCGAAAAAGGAAACTCTGTTCTCTTTGGGTACAATAGCACACATGGGGATGGAGAAGTCTCTCTTTATCTTTGACCAGGAGGAAGTCACATCCTTGCATGTGTCAGAGCAGGATTTGCACCTGGGATTCCTCAGGACGGTTCATGACTGTGGTGGCTATGGAGACCAGTCCTCCTGTGAGTTCTTGCACTTGACCCTGCAGTCTTTTTTCACAGCTTTGTTCCTAGTTACTGAAGAGAAATTGGGTACAAAGGAGTTACTGAAGTTTTTCTCAGAGTGCTCTTCCACTGACACTGCTCACTCTACTTGTCTCCCTATTTCCTGGTTGCGCAAATGCCCTATAGGAGAAGATCCTTTCCGAAATAAAGAACATTTTCACTTCACCAATCTTTTCCTCTGTGGTCTGCTTTCCAAAGACAAGGAGAAGCTCATCAGACATTTAGTTTCACCTGCAGCCATTAAAAGGAAAAGAAATGCGCTCATTACATATCTCTTAGAAAGCATGAAATTTCAAATGCAGAGCCTGATGCGGGCAAGACTTAAGGGTTATAAACAGATTCAGGTCATGCCCAATTTTGTTTGGATGCTGAGGTGCATTTATGAGACTCAAAGTGAAAAACTAGCCAAGCTGACTGTCAGGGGCATGAGGGCCAACTACATCAAACTCACCTATTGCAATGCGTATTCGGCAGACTGCAGCGCCATTTCCTTTGTGATGCAGCACTTTCAGAAGCATCTGGGTCTGGATCTAGACAACAATAATATCAATGACTATGGAGTAAAACAACTTCAACCTTGTTTTAACAAGCTTGCAGTGATCAGGTAGGATGTTGTGCTACGTGACTGTTTATCTTCGATTTATTACACAATATAAGCATTAAACTTACAGAAACTCTTTAGCGCTTGAGAGGGCTAAAGGCACCAAGTGCTCCTGGAAATAAACTGTGTTCGGCTTTTAAAGCCTTGTTTCAGAACGATCACCTCAGAAATTAAGAGGAGGCAGCCCCAAGCAGCAAAATTTGCAGGGCTTTGGAGTTGTGCTCCGGCTCCGCTCCAGCTCCAGGCAAAAACCTGCAGCTCCACTGGTCCGGAGCTGCTCTGCTCCAAAGCCCTGAAAATTTGGATCAGAATTTTGAACGTTCCAGAGTTTGCCGATTTCAGATCTTTTTGGGTGGGGTGTGTGTGTGTGTGTAAGGCAGGATAGCAGTAGGGACCAGCTGTGTGAATTTTGAATCCAGATTGCAAAAAATGCCACCAGAAGTTCGGGGTGTTTAGGTCTGTGGTCTTGATTTGGGTCCATCTCAGATTATGTCTTGAAAGTGGGCCAGGTTCTGTGAAGAAAACACAGGAGGTGGGGTGGGGGGAGCAGGGAAGGAGAAGTACTTGCTGGTAGTACTTCCCTTACATGAAAATTTGCTAGAGCCTGTCCTGGCTTCAAAATATGGCAGTGGGAGGAATCTGCCATTCAGAGCAACTGCTGATCAGAGCAGTGTGCCTTTTGTGTTAATATGGCTCATCCTGGCATGAGGACTATCATTTCCATTTGTTAATTCCTGTAGGACAGAAAATGACATTTGTAACAACCCAAACCTAATTTCACAGTGAGTAATTTGAAAAGAAGCAGACTCCTCTGATCTGTAGAAATTGAGCCAGATTCCCTCTACCGATCAATGCATCTCAGAGTGAGCAAGCTACCAATCTCCTGGAAAAAGCAGGAGTGGTTTGGCGGCAGGGTGTTCTTAAGGCTTGTCTGCATGGCACCACAGCGTGGACTCTGGGGTTGTGAATTGCATAGCATGCAAACAGGTTGTGCTGTAACTGCCCCGTGCAGACCCTGCTAGCATGAAAGCTACCTGCTTCTCATAATCTTTTAATTCATGTCAGCAGGATCTGCATGGGGCAGTTACAGCACAACCTGTTAGTGTGCTCTACAATTCACACCCCTAGGGCGTGCAGCTGTGTAGACAAATCCTTGGCATTGGAGCTTGCTTCAGGAATGGCACTGGTCAAAAATTTTCCAGCGGATCAGTTTTATGTCAGAAAATGCGGATTGCTTGAAATCGAAATGTTTCACAGAAACATGTCGATTTTGATTACGTTTAACAGAAAAACTTCTAAACTATTCATTTTGATTAGGTCAAAACAATTCATCTTTATTCCTTCAACTTTTGTATTATAAATTTATAATATAAAAAAAAAGTTTAAGATGTTCTGATTTTTCTGAAACAAAATATTTTGGAGTATTTTGTTTCATGAAAAAATTCAGTGTTTTGACTTTGTGTCACAATTCAGGGCAAAAAAGAAATTTCTAAATTTCCTATGGGATGGAAATTCTGTGTTTTGACCACAGTTCACTAGAGCATATATGTCATGGCTTTCAGAACATGCTTCTATACTTGCCTGTTTTCTAGCCTTTCACTGAGTATGGGGAGGGATGGTGAGATGACTGGTGGCCCGTTGAGGAGCTGGGTTTTTCTGGAATAGGTATCGTTGTGGGGATGCCAAGTAGAACATCTCCTGTAATTATAATAAACTGTGGGAAAACGGGGATCTATCTGTGATCTGTTGATCTACTGAATTTTTTTGTTTTTAATTCTGTGTACAGCATACAGAGCATTAGGTGGGAGCTCTATTTTTTTAAAGTGAAAGTTTTAAAAACTGAATTAACATTTCTGTTAATGGCCTTAATATATTAAGGTCTGATGCTCTGTTAAAATGTCAGAGGAAAATGTGTAGATCTCCAGCAATCTATGAAGAGGAGGCCACAGAATATCCTGTGGCTGGTGAACCCTTCATAATCTGACTAATCAGCCATCGATTCCCTTCTTTCTTCTTTCAGGCTGAGTGTTAATCAGATCACAGATCATGGAGTAAGAGTACTATATGATGAGCTCTCCAAGTACAAAATTGTGACTTTCCTGGGGTATGTATCAGTTCGGAACAGCACAAGAGATAATTGTTACATTACAGCACCTTTCATCCTGAATGGTCCCTCAACACTAACAGTTGGAACACTAGCAAGTACAGGAAGGAATCCCAGGCCCCTTTAGGGTATGTCTACATTGCAGTAAAAGACCTGGGGCTGGCCCAGGTCAGCTGACTTGGGGTCGCAGGGCACCACCTGAGCCTGAATGTTTACACTGCAATTTTATAGCCCTGCAGCCTGAGCCCCTGGAGCCTGAGTCAGCTGACCCAGGCCAGCCACAACTGTGCCCACGGATCTTTTATCGCAATGTAGACATACCCTTAGTTTACTGAATCTGAACATGGCAGGTTTTGTAAGGCACCGTTTTGTGTCATAGTGTAGTGAGATGTGATGCAGGTATCTGTGTGACAGCACGGCCGGAGCGGGACAGGGACAGCCAGTCCCCCATACAACAGTTCTTCTCCTGTCATAGATCATAGAATATCAGGGTTGGAAGGGACCTCAGGAGGTCATCTAGTCCAACCCCCTGCTCAAAGCAGGACCAATCCCCAATTAAATCATCCCAGCCAGGGCTTTGTCAAGCCTGACCTTAAAAACTTCTAAGGAAGGAGATTCCACCACCTCCCTAGGCAACGCATTCCAGTGTTTCACCACCCTCCTAGTGAAAAAGTTTTTCCTAATATCCAACCTAAACCTCCCCCACTGCAACTTGAGATCATTACTCCTTGTCCTGTCCTCTTCTACCACTGAGAATAGTCTAGAACCATCCTCTCTGGAACCACCTCTCAGGTAGTTGAAAGCAGCTATCAAATCCCCCCTCATTCTTCTCTTCTGCAGACTAAACAATCCCAGTTCCCTCAGCCTCTCCTCATAAGTCATGTGTTCCAGACCCCTAATCATCTTTGTTGCCCTTCGCTGGACTCTCTCCAATTTTTCCACATCCTTCTTGTAGTGTGGGGCCCAAAACTGGACACAGTTTTCCAGATGAGGCCTCACCAATGTCTAATAGAGGGGAACGATCACATCCCTCGATCTGCTGGCTATGCCCCTACTTATACATCCCAAAATGCCATTGGCCTTCTTGGCAACAAGGGCACACTGTTGACTCATATCCAGCTTCTCGTCCACTGTCACCCCTAGGTCCTTTTCCGCAGAACTGCTCCCTAGCCATTCGGTCCCTAGTCTGTAGTGGTGCATTGGATTCTTCCGTCCTAAATGCAGGACCCTGCACTTATCCTTGCTGAACCTCATCTGATTTCTTTTGTCCCAATCCTCCAATTTGTCTAGGTCCCTCTGTATTCTATCCCTACCTGCCACCGTATCTACCACCCCTCCTAGTTTAGTATCATCCGCAAATTTGCTGAGAGTGCAATCCACACCATCCTCCAGATCATTTATGAAGACATTGAACAAAACCGGCCCCAGGACCGACCCTTGGGGCACTCCACTTGATACCGGCTGCCATCTAGACATGGAGCCATTGATCACTACCCGTTGAGCCCGACAATCTAGCCAACTTTCTACCCACCTTATAGTGCATTCATCCAGCCCATACTACTTTAACTTGCTGACAAGAATACTGTGGGAGACCGTGTCAAAAGCTTTGCTAAAGTCAAGAAACGATACATCCACTGCTTTTCCTTCATCCACAGAACCAGTAATCTCATCATAGAAGGCGATTAGATTAGTCAGGCATGACCTTCCCTTGGTGAGTCCATGCTGACTGTTCCTGATCACTTTCCTCTCATGTAAGTGCTTCAAGATTGATTCCTTGAGGACCTGCTCCATGATTTTTCCGGGGACTGAGGTGAGGCTGACTGGCCTGTAGTTCCCAGGATCCTTCTTCTTCCCTTTTTTAAAGATGGGCACTACATTAGCCTTTTTCCAGTCGTCCGGGACTTCCCCCGATCGCCACGAGTTTTCAAAGATAATGGCCAATGGCTCTGCAATCACAGCTGCCAACTTCTTTAGCACTCTCGGATGCAACGCATCCGGCCCCATGGACTTGTGCACGTCCAGCTTTTCTAAATAGTCCCAAACCACCTCTTTCTCCACAGAGGGCTGGCCACCTACTCCCCATGCTGTGTTGCGCAGCGCAGCAGTCTGGGAGCTGACCTTGTTCGTGAAGACAGAGGCAAAAAAAGCATTGAGTACATTAGCTTTTTCCACATCCTCTGTCACTAGGTTGCCTCCCTCATTCAGTAAGGGGCCCACACTTTCCTTGGCTTTCTTCTTGTTGCCAACATACCTGAAGAAACCCTTGTGTCGTTGATCACAGGATGGATTCCTACAAACGGCAAAGCTTGCTCATGTTGCAATGCTGATCAGATGTGTTCAATTTTGCAGCTAGTACCTGACCTCCTTTGTCTTTATCCACCTCTAGTTAAGTAATTTCTTTCTTCTATACAAAGTAAATATAGCTTACAAGAGAGAAGGGGAGTGGAAGGGTCAACTTTCAAGGGGTCATATTTATTGGATTCTTTTGTATAACCACACTTACCCATGCAGGAAGCAGCGATTTCCTTAAAGACCTAAAAGAAAATTAGTTTTTTGTCAAGTTTGGGGTGGTGGGCTTGTTAGCCTTTACTCGCTACTTTTGGTTAAATAGTGGCATAAAAATTACTTTATGAAAAGTGAATTAAGTCCCAAGAATTACCTCCTTCCACCAATGCCCTATTCCCAGTGTACCTACTCAACAATCTAACCTTGCAATGAAAGGAACAGGATGCATTTCAGAGAGCTTTTATGAATCTAATAAAAGAATGAGCACATATTTTGCGTGGTTACTGGGTCATTAACTTTTACATAAAAGTATTTTCATATTGACACCAAAAAATGGAAGCTGGGTTTGCTGGAAGAGCTCATTTACTTCTTTTTAAATATAAAAATAAATATTTAAATCTTTGTACAGGACCCTCATAAAGATAGACACTCGGTGTGTATCAAAGATATCCAGGTCGTGTATATTCAGGTAGCAGCAAAAATAATCTGTTTTTACTAATGTGATTTTTCTTTAAGCTTGTACAACAACCAAATTACTGATGTTGGAGCCAGATACGTTGCAAGACTCATTGAAGAATGTTCAAGCCTCACATATGTTAAGTACGTCCAGGATTTTTCCTTACTATGCTCCATGGTACCACAATTCGGGCACATCAACTTTAAAAGGGAGAAAGAGAAATGTTTCTTCCGTGAATAAAAGAAAACACATGTAGATTGAACAAAAGGAGGTTTGCAAAGTTATGTACTTCCTTATAATACTCTGACAATGACTGCTCTGCTTGCATTCCTTTAATGCTTAATCTTTACTCAAGATTGCGTTGCCCAGTGGGATGCATTCACCCTGATGCAGAGGGTCCGCACAAGACCTGTACTCTACTTATGTCCTATTTTGAGTGCTGGAGAGGAACTTTAGTAGCTCATAAACCTTGTGCTGGGGCCTCTGCATAAGGATACATTTCCCTCATTGTAACTAATCTCAGGTTTGTGTAGGCATGACCTTTTCGTGAGTAAAGGGAAGGAATGTATGTCAGTATCGTATTTCAGTGAGGAATTACCAAAAGTCAGAGGGTGAACCATTACCGTTGTTTACAGGGAACTTCCGCAAAGTTAGAATGCCTAGCCATGCACAAGGCCAGTTGTCATCCTAAGGTTAAGCCACATTAACTTGTCGCTTAATTATTTTTACCACAGAAAGTGACAAGAGGCAACAGAAGCCATGTGAGCTAGTGGAGTGAACATCGTACTGGGAGCCAAGGACTCTTGAATTCCGGTCATGGCTCTGCTGCTAACTTCTTGTGCAGCATCAGGCCTAAATTTTGCAGCCTAAAATGATTACTTTTGGTCCGATACCTTGTAACCAAAAGTTTAAATGTGTACAACATTTTAGTCCATGGAAATTTGCAATAGCCATAATTGACCACCATTCTCTTCCATAGGAGTTGGCTGCCTGGGTCAGTGTCTAAGCTGGAGTTCAAATATAGATGTCTAGATAAGTTGTGTGTTTTTTTAAGAGCTGCATTTTACAAGTGAATATATTTTTATGCAGAATAGGAGCAAACAAGATAACCACTGAAGGAGGGAAATGTCTTGCCCTTGCTATCCAGAAGAGCAAAACAATGTTTGAAATTGGGTAAGTAAAATTAGTTACTCCCTGGTGGAAGTCTAAACATGACGTCAGCTGGGGTTGGCAAAGGAGCTATGACAGTTTGCAGCAGCTGAAGGACTGGCCCCCGAGTATAGAAATAGCAGCTTCCAGAGGGCCAGGGTCCGATTAATATATAGGCAAACTAGGCATGTGTCTGTGGCCTAAATTCACATGGAGGGCCCAAAATCATAGGCCAGTGTCCTTTGCTGCACCTGCCTCCTCCTTGACTTGCCCAGGGGGCATCGACCACCTGCAGCAGCACCCTCCATCTCAGCCTGGTGCGGAGGGGAGGCCCCAGAGTTGTGGGAGGGGATGAAGAGTGAGCCCCCTCTGTACTCACCCCACTGCAGCAGCTTCTGTCCCACAGGGCTGGGCCCAGCTCCCTGCTCTGGGCATTGTGACCTGATGTGCGGGGTTTGGCCCAGCCACAAGGAGGAGTTGTCATCTCAATAGCAGACTGCTAAGGGAGGTTCCCTGAGATTTTAGTCGCCCCAGTGGCAGTCTGCTGTTGAGATGCTAACCACTCCCCTGGGCTGGTGTGATAGAGAATTATCACCATTTTATCTTCACATGTTACTGAGGATGGAGAGCCTGTGGGGCTGGTTTAGTATCCGCCTCCACTCGGGGCCTGGCCCGTGCACTGGCGTGGAGCTGGGTGGGCACAAGAAGCTTCTCTCTGCACACACATCCTGTGTGGGTTGGGTAAGGGCCAGGTACAGTGACAGTCTCTGCATGCAGGGTGATAGAGAGACTGCACTAAGCACCCCACAGGGGGCAGGGAAGAGACAGGACGATGGTCCCTCCACGCACACCAGCTCAGAGCAGGATCAGTATGCATGGGAAAGTATCCCATAAAGAGGTGTAGCTGCAGATGGCTCCCCTGTACAGTCCAAGAGACACTCCCACTGAGGCAAAGTATCTCCCGGTGCTCCCTTTGGCCTGTGCCTTTACAGCAGAATTGAACCCTCATTGCTCAGTCCTGCAAGCGGCTGGGAATGGAACCTGCAAGGATCAATGGGAGTGAAGCTTGGAACCCTGATCAGTAGTATACAGTCGCTGGGGAGGGGGGAAAATGTGACACAGGTGGCACAAGATCCTTGTTCCTTATTTCTCTCTGTTTTCTTTCCTTGCCAGGATGTGGGGTAACCAGGTTGGAGATGAAGGAGCGAAGGCGTTTGCAGAGGCACTGAGGAATCACCCCACCTTAACAAATGTGAGGTAATAAATCAGCTTTACAGAACACCTGCCTTTTTAACGGGCTTTGGAATGTGAGCTGATCTGGAGAGGCTTTGTCTGAGAAGGCTGTTTGGTAAGGCAGCCTTTCCTCTGTAGGCTAACAGGACCCTGAGTCAAACAAGAGGCTAGCCTGAGGTCTGGGATCAGGTGGGATTTTCAGTCACAACACAGGTTGTCATTTGTAGGTCTGTCATTTTCTCTTTTTATAATGCTCCAAGTTACGGCCTAGGGCCTGCTTCTCTGTAACCTTGCACCATCAATGGTCCCTTAAACCCATTTACCATTCTCATTTGGTAGCCCTTAGCACCTACTTTGTAATGGTGCAAATCATAGAATATCAGGGTTGGAAGGGACCCCTGAAGGTCATCTAGTCCAACCCCCTGCTCGAAGCAGGACCAATTCCCAGTTAAATCATCCCAGCCAGGGCTTTGTCAAGCCTGACCTTAAAAACCTCTAAGGAAGGAGATTCTACCACCTCCCTAGGTAACGCATTCCAGTGTTTCACCACCCTCTTAGTGAAAAAGTTTTTCCTAATATCCAATCTAAACCTCCCCCATGACTGCACAGGTCGCAGGGTGATGGGGAAATAGGCCCTTGGTGTGCTGAATATTAGTAAAGCATGCTCTCTTGAGGAGAAACAAGCAGCCTCTCTACTACTATTTCTTAGGCTATGTCTACACTAGAGACCTTACAGTGGCACAGCTCTACTGATACATCTGCGCCGCTGTAAGATCTCCTGTGTAGCTGCTCTATGCCGACGGGAGAGAGCTCGCCCGTCCACATAATTAAACCGTCCCCAACTAGCGGCGGTAGCTATGTCGGCGGGAGAGCGTCCACACCAGTGCTTCTGTCGGTCACTTCTGTCGGTCAGGCAGGTGTTTTTTTCACACCCCTGGGTGACATACATTTTACCAACAAAAGTGCTAGTGTAGACATAGCCTTAGACTGTAAACTCTACAGGGCAGGGATCATGTCTTGGTTAAGTGTTTGCACAACAGGGCTGCCACAATATAAGTAATAGTGATCCATTAGACAGTGTTTGTAATGAAGTTCAGCTTGAAAGTAGTATCTGAAAGCACTAAAATGTTTGAAGTTGGCAATGTGGTATGAGGGGAAGCTAGCATTGTAAATCTCATGACTCAACTCATACCTCTTTGCTTTAATGTTTTCAATTCTTGCTGTGAATTTTAAAATCATTTTCGTGGCCACTTCCCAGTTTCAGTGCACGCTCCATACCCCCCCCCTTTTTTTTTTGGCTCAGTTACTTTCATTTTGTCTCCCAGTTATACTAAACTCCATGACCCCCTCTTGAAAGAAAGAGCAAACACCCTTGCTTGCTTTCCCCACAAGATGGTGCACTTCACTAGTTTCTTCAGTAGAGAAACAGGGAGTGTGGCGAAGACATTCGGGCTCTCTGGAGAGCTCACGGCTGCTGTCTCAGACTATCAGTGATTTCATAGCTAGAGCTCGGCCCTGTTTTCTCTGGGCAGATGACTGCCTGAAACAAAACAAAATGATGAACAGCTGCATTTTTGTTCAAATGGAAAAGCTACCTGAGAGAGCCACCTTCTCCTCACTGCAGAATTCCTCTAGAAGTCTTATCTCAGGTGTGACCCACCTTGAGCCAGCACTAAGCTGGGTTATGCTTGCCTGGCCCTCTTGCTCAGGAACAAATTTGGTTTTGAATTTAGTGCTTGCCAAAGCAAATATGATGATGTGCACAGGCCAGCTCCAGTCATTGTGTGTATGCGTGTGCAGTCTGAATTCTGCCATTGCACCCGCACCTGCCTCGTTCTTAGAACCATGGGGCTAGAAGGGACCACAAGGGTCATCTAGTCTAACCCCTTGCCAAGATGCAGGATTTGGTGTGTCTAAACCAGCCAAGACAGACAGTGACTCAGCCTCCTTTTGAAAACCTCCACTGAAGGAGCTTCCACAAGCTCCGTAGGCAGTCTGTTCCATTGTCCTACTGTTCTTACCGTTAGGAAGTTTTTCCTGAGATTTAATATAAATCTGCTATGCTGTAATTTGAACCCATTTCCTCTTGTCCTGCCCTCTGTGGCAAGAGGACAACTTTTCTCCAACTTTCAAGAATTTGAAGACCCCTATCCTGTCATCCCTTAATCTCCTTTTTTCCAAACTAAACATACTCAGTTCTTTCAGCCTTTGCTCACATGGCTTGCATTCCATCTCTTTGATCATCTTTGTCTCTGGCCTCTGGATCCTTTCCAGTTTCTCCACGTCCTTTCTATACATTGGTGACCAAAACTGGACACGCTACTCCAGCTGAGACCTTACCAGCATTGAGTAGAGCTGTACTATCACCTGCCATGATTGCATGCTATGCCTCTGTTAATGTAGTCTAAAATTTCATTTGCTTTTTTTGCAACAGCATTGAATTGCTGACTCATGTCGAGGTTGTGATCCACCACAACTGCCAGATCCTTTTCAGCAGTGCTGCTGCCAAGCCAGTAATCCCCTATTCTGTATTTGTGCATTTGGTTTTTCTTCCCTAAGTGTAGCACCTTACGTTTGTCTTTGTTGAATTTCAACTTATCTGTAGCCTAGTTCTCCACTTTATCAAGATCCTGCTGAATTCTAGTTCTATCCTCCAATGTTTTGGCAACTCCTCCCTAGCTTTGTGTCATTTACAAATTTGATCAGTGTGCTCTCTATACCAACATCCAGGTCATTAATCATTCTTAATTTACAGTTCTTAAATTAAGAATTTACATTCTGAATCTAGAGTACTTTAATCTTGTTCCATCTATTGAATACCCATTAGTGTCAATGGTGGTTTTTATGCAAAGTTTAAGGGTGGACGAAGATAGCCCTAAAATAATTTGTTTCAATCTTTTAGCATGTCATCCTTGTACTTAGGTCCAGGCATCACAGATGCTGAGTACCTGCAGTTTCCACTGAGGTCAGTCGGCGTTCCAGGTGCTCAACACCTTTCAGAATTCAGGCTCTTTACTAGACTAACCACTAATCTTCATGGACTTTAATGAAGACGTGTGCTTGCTTGCACGTCATTGGAACATAAGAATCACCTTATCAGGCCAGACCTTTAGTTCGGAATCCTGCCTCTGGCAGCAACCAATAATTGCTGCTTCAGGGTTTGTCTACACACAGAAGTTGCACTGGTCTAACTTACGTTGGTTTAGTTAAACTGCTCCACTTATCTGGTTCGTACCAGGGAAATTGATGATTCAACCAAGGAACCGCATTCGAAGGCCTTTGTAGGACTGAACCTCAGCCATTTGCCAGCCGACGTTCCCGATGCAATGCCTCCCCCCAATGTTTGAGCCATCGGGCTGGCCCTGAGAGTATTGCAGATAGGTATTGAGGGATTGTTGGCAGCCAAATGCAGCATCATCAGCCATTCTTGTAACTGACCCAACCATGCGTGTACCTGGCTTTGTACCGCTCATGGACCCTTCTGAACCAGTTTTGAACAGTGAAGGGTCAGTGTGCACCCAGCTTTTACACGCAGGGCTAACAAGAGGGTCCCAGGTGTGGTTGTGGCCCATGCACACAATGTCACACATCACTGACGACTGCCCTCTGACCAGATTTGATGGTGGTCAGAAGCCTCTGGTGCTTGGCTGATGAGGCTTCTGCAAATAGGCTTGGCAAGCTCTGCACCCAAGAAGAAGAAAATCAACCAGTGTCACTTGTGTGTGTGGCTCCTCTTGTATCGGTTTAAGCCTGCCTTACAGAGCTTAGCTTGTACCTGTACAGGAACAAATTCCATAGGTTGTCCATGGGCCTGGTCCAAAGCCCAGTAAGCCCCTGGAAAGACTCCTGTCGATTTCAGAGGACTTTGGCTTAGGCCCTAAATGCTGTGTACAGTAGTGTGGTCTTGTATTTGTTCTCCCAGGCTTGTCCTTCCATTTCATTGAGTGTCAGAGCCCAGCATGCTCATGGCTAGTTCAGAGTCTTGATTGCTGGTGATTGGGAATCAACTGGAAGGCCTGACTTTGCATGGTGGTGTTCTCCCCCACTCTGCCCCTGTGCTTTCCTCACTTCTTGCCTCCTTACTGGTGTTGTGTTCATAGGCACCGACTATGTGGGTGCTCCAGGGCTGGAGCACCCATGGAAAAAAAAGATGGGTGCTGAGCACCCACCAGCAGCCCTCCTATCAGTGCCTTCTCCTCCCCACCAGTGTCTCCTGCCTGCTGTCGGCCCCGCCGATCAGCGCCTCCCTCCCAGTGCCTCCCACTTACCACGATCAGCTGTTCCACAGCATGCAGGAAGCGCTGCGGGGGTGGGGGGGTAATAAGAGGGAGGATCAAGGGCAGGGCATACTTGAGGGAGAAGGCAGGATGGGGATGGGAGCTTTGGGGGAAGGGACAGAGTGGGGACGGGGCTGGGGGGAGCACCCCCCAGCCACATTAGAAATTCGACACCTATGGTTGTGTTTGAATCCAAGGAATAAGTTGCGAAGGATCAGCTGGAAATGTGAGTAGTTAGTACATTCTCCTGGTTCTCCGCTCCAAGAAACAGCCCCCTCTGCCCCCTGCTGTGTTAACTGTATGAATTCAGTTTACTATGTCTGATGTAAAATGTATATATGTGACTGATTTGAATTTGGGCTTCATTGGTACCCAAGGAAAATAGTGGGTGAAATTGTGCAGAAGGCAAACACAAAGCCTTTGTGCACTTACATCCCCCAACTGCCCTATTTTGAACACTCATATGAGAATTAAGTGGTTACCTAGGCCTTGTGCTAGCTAGTTGCCCAGGACTGATCTCACTGGTCATCCCTGCAATACTGCCAGCTCATGTTTGGCTTCCAGGGGGACTTAGAAGAGCTGCTTTTTGAAGATCTGAAACTTGGAGCTTAGTATTAGACAGATAGGCTTACCAACGTCTAGCTGAAGATAGAGGAAAAGATTTAAAAAGCCTCTGGTCTGCACTGAAAACTGTGTGTGTGTATAAGTAAGGCTAGGTTTTAGTCATAGGTATTTTTAGTAGAAGTCATGGGCAGTAAACAAAAATTCACCGCCCATGACCTGTCCATGACTTGTACTATATACCTGACTAAATCTTGGGTGCTCTGGGGTGGGGGGTGGGCGGCCCGGGTGCTAGGCGGTGAGGGGGCGGTGTGTGGCCTGGGACCCCCACTGATGCTGGGGGAGGTAGGGGTGTGTGGCAGCCCGAGACCCCCACTGGTGCTGGGGAGGGGGCAGCAGTGGCCCGAGACTGCCCCAGGAGTGGCCAGTGCAGCTGGCCCAGGGGCGGCCAGTGCAGCTGGCCCAGGGGCTGCCCGAGCTGCTCGGGTAGCCCCGGGCTAGATGCACTGACTGCTGCAGAAGCCCTGGAAAGTCCCGGAATCCGTGACAGACTCTCAGCCTTATGTGTAAGCCTACATTTCCATGGGCAGTTGCACGCATCTCGGAGATTAAATTCTGCAGGTACAAGCTATAAATGACCAGCTCTTACCTAGGGTTGTGGTAACTGCATTGAACACAGATACATTGTTGAGCACGTGCCTCAGACAGGGCTGATTTTAGGAAGTGGGCGAGCAGAACAGTGACTTCTGGGGGTGCTGTGCTGCTGTTTTTTTTCCTTGTGTCTCTGGTGGTTTGGGGTGCTTTTGGCTTAGCTATTGGTGGGGGTGGCCCTGGTGCCAAAAGCCTGGCACTCAAAGCCACCAATCACAATTGTGCTGTCAGTCCCCTAAGTACCACTCTCTGATGCCAAACTTTGTGACCTGTGTAACTGAGGGCAGAGTCAGACCCAGGCTGTACGACAGTAACAGAAGCATGTAGTTAAAATGCTTCCGCTGGTAAAGGCTTAATTAGTTACCGTTTGTAGAGCCCTTTGAGCATGTAAATCACTCTCTAAATGCTACGTATTAGGATTGATTTAAAGACAAGTCAGGCTTTTTGTAAAATGGAGATGCTGGCTATTTTTACGTATTCCTCTCTCTTGTTTCCCAGTCTTGCATTCAATGGCATCACGACAGAGGGAGGCAAAAGCATTGCCGAAGCTTTGCAGCACAACAGCACCGTGAAAATATTTTGGTAATCTGTATCGGTTCAGTCTGTGGAAATATCTGCCCCCTTACTCATTGTTAATGGGTTGGAAAGGAAAGCTGCAACTTAGTTTTACACTTTCGCATTGGGAAGTAAGGATCATTTCACTTTAGAACGGGGGTGAAGGAAAAGGACGATTACGTGTTCTTTATGACAGGTCTTTTCCAGAGCCATGTGCTAGCTCTTATCTAACCGGTGCAGGCACGTCTCCTCCAGCTGGGAATCACACCCCCAGCTTGAAGTACAGACGTACCCTTAGGCTAGGTCTACACCACAAGCTTCCACCAATGTAACTGCATTGCTCAGGGGTGTGAAAAATCCACCCCCCTGAGCAATACCAACCTAACGCAAAGCGTAGCTAGCGCTGTGTTGACGGGAGGGCTTCTCGTGTTGACATAGCTACCGCCTCTTGCGGTGGTGGATGAATTGCCGATGGGAAAAGCCCTCCTCCTGGCGTAATAGTGTCGTGGATGGGGTGCTACAGCAGTGCTGCTGCAGCTTTTTAAGTGTAGACCTGAGTCTCGTCTCCTATCACTTTTGTCGTCCGAGACAAGATTTTGTTAGTTTGTTCCCACAGCCTTCATGGCTTCTCCAATGCTACTGCCATGTCTGGACCTGTCCATGTCTTCCAGTGCATTGTATTTACTCTCTCATACACATCCCCTTCCTAGTCTGCAAGGCCCACACCTGCTATCCCATGTCAGTGAAATATCATCACTGCCCCCTCACTAATAAAAACCAAGTAGGCAGGCTCTGGGCCTCTCCTGTGTTCTTGTGTCCAGGCTTTGGAAGCTGCTCAGGACAGGAACTGTTTGTGGCTTGTCCAAAGCTTAGTGCGCTGTCAGCACTTAAATAATTGAGTAGCAAATGTCAAAATGTGAAACAGAGTTTCTGAACAAACTCTCTCTCCCCTAATTAGGTTGACTAAAAATTCGATAGATGACGAAGCTGCAAAGAGCTTTGCAGAGATGCTGAGAGTCAACAAGAAGCTAGCACATTTATGGTGAGTTAGTTACATTTAGGCAAGCGTGGCTCTTTGTCACCCATCACATTAAAACTGCAACTTCCAAGTCTATGAAGGTCACAGCGAGCCATCTCGGCAATGCCTGGACGTGTTCGGGCACTCCTGGACTAGGTGGGTGATAAGGGAAACGAAGCTGCTGCTTTGCTTTTTTATTTTATGTATTTTTAAACTTTTGAAAAAACATGCATCAAGTTGGGCACCTGAATCTGCATTTAGGTGCCTCAGTAAACATCCTGCAAACCTGCAGCGTCTATTGCAAAGAGTGGACGCTCCGGGCAGTCAGCACCTCTGAAAGCAAAAAGGGGCCTTACCTTTTCTGCGGCTACATTTGAACATTTTGGCCACAGTTTATTATAAATCTGCCTGAAAAGAGCACGAGCTCAGCACCCTTTGGCCCAGAGCCAGCACAGCGGCTCAGTAAAGCACGGGTGCTACTGCCAGTGGACAAGTTTATATCCTGGCTTTCTTGGTTAAGCCACCTGATGCTTTGAAATGGCAAACTGACCAGGATAGAGATTTGTACTTAAGACTGAGCCAAACGTTCTTCCAGTGGCTGAAAGCACTTGCAACATCTCAGTTTGTTGATCACGTTCAGAAAGTTCTTCGGGGCAGTTCTTCCCTTTTTCCCCCCTGAGAGAGATTTTTGAGAATTAATTTGATTTTCTAGCTGAATCCTGAATCTCTGCCAATCACGGGAGCTTATAGAGCGTGTGGCATATCATGACAAGCTACCAGGTGGGTGGTGGTTACCTCGCCTGAGTATCTTTATATTATTTCAGCAGGGAGTAGTTTTTAATTTGAGACAACCGTTCTACTCTAGAACAGTTAATGAGGATCCCGTGCTGTCTCCATTTCTATTCTTGTGTCTTTTGTATCTTTCAATTTCAACTCTTATATCAAGTGTGGTTTGTCCAGTGCGTGAGCATCTTACCTAGATATTACTGCAGATACATTTCTTCATAATCAAACCATAGACTAGACAGAACTCTACTTAAAACTAGTATCTGTAGCTCATGACTAATTTGCTGGAAGGGTCACCCTGTGAACAATATGTGGTGCTCACTTTTCCCCCTTGGCCCATCCAAGGGGGAATATATTGACCTTATTTCGTCCCTGGCCTAAGCAGTGGCAACTCCCGTTGACTTCATTGGGAGTTGCGCTTGCTTACACTAGGGCTGTTTGATGCAGTGTCTCCACAGAGATCCCAATCCTCACTGGCCTGCTATCAAGAGACTGCCATTTAGAATTTCATTTGGATTGCTCACATGGCAAATAGTGACCACTAAACACCTGGACTGTCCCAGGATTTATGCACAGAATTGGTCTGCTACTCCTTGAAGAGTCCTTGTTAAGTAGAAAATATAATTACGATGGACTAAAGCAACAGAGTGAAGAACTTAATGTATCAATGGATCCAGTGTTCATAATTCCACACTGATAGTAACCAGCTTCCACTTATCAGACAGCACATGTATTATCAATTGCATAATTCAGCTCACTAACCCTGAAGCACACGCACACATACTTTAAAATCAAGAGGCTCTTGGCCTTGCTGCTGGTAGCAGATCTGGGGGGAAGATTGTCTGATGCTGGCACGCCCTCCATGCAGATGGTAATCAGAAACTACCTCTTCTTGGCAAACAATCAACCCTGCTCATCAGTGTCAAGCAGAGCTTAACTCCCAGTGTTGATTTCTGCATCAAATACACTGAGTGTGCGAGAGAGGGGATGCTACAAATCAGAGCTAAACAGCTTGTTTGACTTGAAGTGCTTTACTTTTAGGCTTATCCAGAATCAGATTACAGCCAAAGGGGCCAAATACCTCAGTGAAGCTCTCCAGGAGAACACAACCCTGAAAGAAATCTGGTAAGATCCCACTCCTCAGAAAGTTGCTTTGTACCTTTATTTCCTTTCAAACGCTTTGTGCATATGACACTTGCAGTAAATCAGAATTTAGAGTGGGGGGGACCTCACTTTTCCTTTGAGGCCCTCTTCCCCCACCCTACCCAAATGTGATAAAAAATTCCATGGCCCACTGGTGCCACAACTCTTTCTCTGCATGTCCAGTAGATGAAAAGCCAAGGCTGGCATTAGGGGGTAGATACCCTGGGCGAAGCTAAGTTGCTTGTGCTTCAGCCTGGGTGGTGGGGGTTGGGTCCTCAGTCCCAGACTCCTGGTTGAGAACTGCTGATTTAGAGCAAATTTCCAGCAGGGGATGTTGTATTTCCAGCCTGGAGGATCCAGCTTTTGAAGGACCCGCTCATTCCAACACTTACACCTCTGCTTTGCTCACAGGAGCAGTCCCATTGGCTTCAATCTGATCGCTTTCCTGCAGAAACCAAAGCACCTGTTCAAAGAATCAGGGCCTGAGTTCTGCTGGATCTGAATATTTTTTTCAAGCTTTCTTCAACATGTTTCTGCTACCAATGAGCCAAAGCCAGACAAGCAGATGATAGCTGCATTTAATTAACATTAATAATTTGGTTCACAGAATTTGTGCTTTGATTTTTTTTTTTTCAGCCAGCACTCATGCACAGTAAAGGGGCTAAGCTACAAGGAGATTTGCTTGGTTTAGATGAGGTGGGCATCACATGGCACCTGGGTTTGGAGGCACAAAGGCAAAGACCGTTCCTTCCGCTAGCTCTGAAGCATGGACTAGCCAGTAGAATTGGGTTATTTTTACTGCTACTGCTTTCAGGCTGTGATTTTGTACAACATTGGTTTAAAAAAAAAAATCTACTGTATTTTTCTTAAGTGCCAGGCCATGATGTTCCTACTTTGAAAGCTTGTCAGTCACCACCTGTGTTCCACTGCAGCAGGCCCATGGGGGAGGTGTTCTGTTACAGAGCTGGGGTTGGGGTGTGTGTACACAAGTTTTCTCTCTGTCACCCACTCCCCCTTCGAATATTTTCAAACCAAAGGAAGGTTCCTAAAATAAAGTGGTTTGTTTCTCAGAGGTGGTGAGCAGCGGTAGGATTTGTGAGTGCTCAGCCCATCTGAAAACCAGGCTATTTATATACAGGAGCCTAACTTTAGGCAGCTGCATTTGAAAATGTTGACCTAAAGCAATATCACTATTAAAAGAAACATCCCAACAAATTAGGTTGCCCTTAGTATATTTTGCCCTGCTCAGGAGGATATGGAATAATGAGGGTGAAAGCGTGAACAAGTCTCTGTTCATTTGGTTACACTAGATTCCCGCACATGGGGAACCTTAGTCAGCTGGATCCCTTTTTTCATACTGGCCATAATATAATCAAACATACTATTCACCTCCTGGGCAGTTCAAAGCAGTATGGGATTGTCTTACTCCAAGTGCAAAGTCACCCTGACTAGCATAAAGCTAAAACCTCTAATGCTGGCTGCCTACATTTAGCCTTCTACCTCTACAATGAGGCTTGGGCTCTCAGGAGCACCAAGCACCTAACCAGCTCTGATTCACTTTAATGTGCTGGGCACGCAACAGCTCCCACTTGAGTACCTAGAGCTAAACTAATTTTAGACACCAATTTTTGAAAAATCTTGCCCCACATGTCTGTAATCAGAACCCATTGGGGGTTTGTACCCAGGTATGAATATTTGGTAAGCGAGTAGCACACAGAATCAAAGGAAACTGAGTGCCACTCCAAAAAGCTTGAAAAAGCAGAAGACATGAAATTATCAAAAAGTGCTAAATATAGCAGGCGCAAACTCTTCATTTTCCATTTCCTTTTCCCCCCCACCAGCTTAAATGGGAACCTGATCAACCAAGAAGAGGCCAAAGCCTTTGCAGATGAAGAACGGATTATTTGCTTTTGAGTGTGTTTTTTCCAGTTTGGACAAGCTCAGTATTACAAGTATTGTTCCAGCACTTAGAGACTGCAGGGTTACCAAGGCATCCGTCTGTACTGGGGACGTCACTGCATGTAAGGGAGTCTGATTAACTGGCTTTTTCAGAACACTCTGCCCTTCCCCCTCCAGTAAGGTGCCTGTGTTGTTACTCCACACTTTTGCGGAGTGTGACAGTGCCTTAGAGGACTAAGTGTTTGTACAGTGCTTGGATGATTTAAAGTGCCCTGTCAGTGTAATCAAACCCACCCCACCCCCCCCAGCAGGTCTATATACTTTGATACATCTATATCCATGTATTAGGTAAATAAGTCTCTTTATAGCTTATTTATATGTACAATTAAGGCTGCAAGATCTTGTGGAAGAGCCACAAGCTCACAGCAACATCCCCAGTGGACTGAGGAAAAGCTTGTGAGCATTTGGAGATCCTGAGTAGAACTGTAAACCATCCATGCAGGGCATTTTCTGTGCTCGTGCCTGGGGTCTAATTTTCCCATCAACTGTCAGTGGAGCTATGGGAGCTTAGCACTCCTGAAAAGCAGGATCTTAGACTTTAGGCTTTCATTATTTTTAATACTCCTTCCTCCACATTGGAGCTAATTCACACAACTTCCCCCAGATACCCAGCAGCACTCCTGCCATTTTGTTAGAATGTTGTGTGGTCAGTATAGAGACAGCCCCCTGTAATTACAGTGTTCAGTTTTGGGGGATTCTGGAGATAAACCTGAAGAATTGGCCACTAGCCTCAGATATTAGACAAATTTAGACTGGACTTAATTCTCATTAAAAATGTATACCTTTTAGCAGCTATTGGAACCATTTACACAAGGGCATGGTGGATTCTCCATCACTGAAGATTTTTAAATCAAGGTTGGATGGTTTTCTGAAAGGAATTCTATTAGGGGAAGTTTGAGGGCCTGTGTTGTACAGGAGGTCAGACTAGATCAGGGTTCTCAAACTGGGGGTTGTGACCCCTCATAGGGTTGTGAGGTTATTACATGGGGGGGAGGGTCATGAACCGTCAGCCTCAACCCCCAAACCCTGCTTTCCCCCCAGTATTTATAATAGTGTGAAATATAAAACAGGTGTTTTAATTTATATGGGGGTCGCACTCAGAGGCTTGCTGTGCGAAAGGGGTCACCAGTAGGAAAGTTGAGAACCACTGCACTAGATGACCACAATGGTTCTGTCTGGCCTTGGAATCTGACACGCTGCTGCTAGCAACACACCAACAGCAAAGAGCAAGGAGAACAGAAGAACTAACTGAATTGAGCAGAAATCTCTTTCCCAGCAACAGGGAAGTGTTAAAAACTGTTTGCGAACGTAAGACTTGCATGCCAGTCCTACCTGAATTAACAGAACCATTGAAAGCATCAGTAGGAGATTGGAATGACAAGCCACAATCTTGAGCTCGAAGAGTTGAGAAGCAAAATGATTTTCAGTAGGAACTAGTGATTTTGGGAGCCTAATCTGAGCTGCCTTAAAGAAGCCTGATTCTCAGAGGGCAGGTGCGCAGTACTTTGAGAAAATCAGGCCTTTTTTAATACATCTCAAGCTTTGAAGCACCCAAAAGTATTAAACACTTTGCAAAAGCTTGGTCAATGTTCCTTAATTTTCCTTTAGTTAAATAAATTTTCATTCACTAGATTAAAAAAACAAACACATACACCAATACACCTACCTGTATGTGTGCTTGATTCTCTATTTACTAACTTGCCCACCGACCCAGGTGGGATGAAGGAAGGAAGGTATGGTATAAATTCTAGTAAAAACAATCTTAGATCTCCACAAAGTTAAAATAGTTAAAGGGTTTTCTTTCTATTTTAAATCCACCCCTACCTCTTTTTGGGAGCAGCACCCTCCTGTTTCCCACCCCCATTTATTCCTTTTTTCTCCAAAACACACTTTCAAACACTGTAAAGAAAAATATTAGTGTTTGTTATTTTCAGTGGGCTTTTCTCACTGGCTGTTACGTCAGTGATGTGGCTCTGCTCCCACTGCGGTGAGGTGATGACACTTCCATGTCTTCCTAGAAAAATCAGCTAACTGGAATGATTGATGCATCTGGGCCACTTGTTTACTGAAGCAAAGAGGTGCAGAGTCAGACATGCAGTATATTTTAAGCTGTAAAAACATCTGCCAACACAAAATATTTAAAAGCGTGTTATAGGCTATTTTTAGAAAAAACCCACACTTTTCTCTTAGGCTATGTCCACACTACACTTTCATTGTTAAAACTTTTGTCGCTCAGGGGAAGTGAAAAAACACCTCCCTGAACGACAAAAGTTTTAGCAACAAAAAGTGCCCATGTGGACACCGCTTTGTTAGCAGAAGACTCTCCCGCTGACGAAGTTACCGCCCCTCATTTGAGGTGGTTTTATTTTGGCGTTAGGAGCGCGCTCTCCTGGCGACAAAGAGCAACTACAGTGGCACAGCTGTACCACTGTAAGGTGTGCAGTGTAGACATAGCCTACGTCATACTAAAGTCTTCCCAGTCCCTCGCAGATACAACCGCCACCAAAAAAAAGGGCATGATCCTGAAAGGTAGTGAGTCCCCTTTGTTCCTACTGTGCTCAGCATGTCCCGGGAGGTATTGATAGTAGAATTAAACCCTAGAGCATAAGAGGGAAAAATGCATTTTCATTATTCCAAGTCACTGATGTGAAAATACAAAATGTCCATGAATTTAATATGCTCATTTGGGGCTTTTCCCTTCAGCTTCTTCTGCACTACAGTTTAGAAGAGGGTTTGGCACTGATCCTGGTGCAAACTCTGTTACGTGCATACCTGTTACAAAGCATGGGTCCAATGCTGCATGCGCTTACTGTGGGGCATAGCGTTCACTGAACTGCTCAGGGAAGCAAGCACTGCATTTGATAGGAACAGGCCTTGTGTTAAGAAACCATGTGCTGTAGACTGTGGGCCTATTAAACACTCCTGTCCAACCAACCCTTAGCATCAAAGGAGGATCCACGTACAGAGAGCTCAGAAGACTGCGCCTTGGCTGTAGTGGTGTTGTTACTGAAGCCGTAGCCGATTTCTGCTCCAAGTGGAGCCGTGACAGCGATTTATTGCCCACATTACTTCATAGTTTCAGCTTGGGGAAAACACGGCTGCCATGTGTGGAGAAGCTTGAATTTCCCACCACAGAGTTTTGGGCTTCACTTTTTTCTTCATAAACTTAATGGGCTATTTGCAGTGAGCTCCCAAGCTATAGCTTGACCACCTACAAAGGGGACCTTGTTACCAGAATTCAGGTCTCCGAGAAAGCCCTTAGATTGTAATTAAATACATATTTTTAAAACTTGGAATTAATAATTTACTTAAAGTCCTTTTTACAGAACCATGTATTTTTTCACCCCTTGTTAATAAACAGCTTTCTAAGAGCTTCTCTAGCCTGCTCCTGTGATTCACTGGGGTTTATTTCAGTCCTGTCAGGCAGACACTGGGTAGATTCAGCCCTGGATGTTACAGCATAGCTCAGACTACAGAATGCCATTAATGAAAATTCTTCATCTGGTGGGAAGAGCAGTTACAACTGCTCAGTGAGTGCACAGTCAGCTCTCCTGGAGGGGTCCTACAGCTGGCCAAACTGGGGGCAATACTAGCCAGGCAGGGGGCATGGGCAGAGCAGCTCAGACTGCACTGTTAGGAGTCCTGGTCATGAGATGACCCTAGCAATCGCTCTGTGCTCCCCTTCATTCCCTAGGTGTACTCCCCTCTGGCTCAGGAAAGTGTCATTTGTACTTGGCTGGCACAGGCCTAGTAGGTTTGTTAGACACACACATGTCCCAGCTTTGTACAAAGACTAACGCACTGGCCTTTGGAACAACCCAGTTCAACTCAGTCACACACTTCTGCACTTTCACTCCTAAGCTTGTGTTCGGAGCCAACGTTTAAAAGATGTTTTAATGCCATGAACAAGCTGACATAAGTATCAACCAGAAACTGTTTTTAAAGAAGCATTTAACAGTTGTTTCTTAATATACAGTCAGGATGTGTGAACAGCAGCATTGATCAGGCCTTATAGTGTCCGGTAAACACTCTCCTTCATGTTGATAGTTGCTACTAGAAGGACAATGCAAGGGGTGAGAAGCCCCCAGGAGTCTCCTGTTGCTCTAAAAGCCAGTATATATTATGCCCAGAGCATTGCCCCTGTGCTCCAGGACACACCACTTCTCTAGCATGAGTGAAACTGATGTGGATCTTTAACAGTTTGATTCTGTTCCTAGTAATGCCCCTATAAAGTTACTGTATGCATCCTTCTGCCATTTTACACAGGAGCAGCACAGAATCATTGCCAGAACTAAACCCATGAATTTTACAGAATGCTAAAAGCAGGAGAGCCCATTTCTGTCCCATGTAAGTTTCTTTTTATCACCTTGGCTACCTGAGCTAGACTCCGACACTCTTAGCAGCCCCTGCCTGTCATAAAACCTTGTGCCATAGACAACAGCCAAGGACTTATAACTGAGCACACCCAGGCCAAAGGCACTGAGGCTGCAGAAGCCTGGAAAGGGGATAGTAACAAACGGGAAGTAACTGCAGGAAGTAACAACAAAACATACATTCAAGTCACTCTTGACTTGAAGCCTTTAAATCATGATTTGAGGACTTCAGTAACTCAGCCAGAGGTTAGGGGTCTAGTACAGGAGTGGGTGGGTGAGGTTCTGTGGCCTACAATGTTCAAGAGGTCAGACTAGGTGATCATGATGGTCCTTTCTGGCCTTAAATCTGAAGAATCTCAGTCCAGTGCCTAGTGGCCAAGTATTTGATCACAAAGCCCCACAGTTTACAGTCTCAGCTGAGATCAAGAACTGAATAGGGCATAGCAACCAAACCCTCCTCTCTGTCCTATGGAGGGTCCCTGCAGAGCAGAGTTGTGCATATTAGCCAGGCAGTAGGGGCTGCTTACCCTGCTGCCACCTGTGCTGTACCTCATTGGTGGCTACATGAAGGACCTCAGTCACCATGACTAGCAGCAGCATCATTCACCCACCCCAGATGTTAGTGGCCTGAGACAGGATGAGTACCCGCAAAGTTAAAGGAAGGCAGTGGAGGCTGTGGCTGCTCAGTACCTTTTGGATCAGGCCACAAAAGGTTTATACTGATCACAGCAAGCGGGGGGTGGAGGGAAAGGCTACATTCAACATTTTCCTTAAGAACTCAGTGCGGAGTTCTGGAAGCCCCCTTAGCACTAATGGACAGTTACACAAGTTCATCACCTGAAAAACAAAGCTGAGGTATCTTCGCATGGTCAATTCCAGCTCAGCAACTTCCCTTTTGGGGAAATGAAGGGAATTAATTCAAGTGTCACTACAGAGAAGGGCCAGGAGCCACTTCTGTTATTTGCTAGCAGAGCATCCAAATGTGGTGCCAAACGACGGTCATCTGGTATTGGCTAAGAACCTGGGCTAGTGCCAGATGGGTCTACACAAGCTTCCCAACAGACTGCGTCCAGTCGGTAACAATAGGCTGGGTAGGTGTAGTTCAGCACGTTAGGGTGGGAAAGACGGAAAGAGAAGTTGACTGACTCAGAAGAGGGAACTTCAGAGTTACTCACAGAGAAGCAGCTTTATTGCTCTAATTCATTAGTCCCCAGGGTCTGTTAGCTCTTCTTTTCTGACTTGTTTCTTCCACCTTCCTGTCCACAGCCTCTCAGGGCATGCATGACCATGCTTCTGCTCTCACTGCAGCATCGCCAGCACCTCTAGAGCCTGCACACTGTGGGGTGCTGCTGCTTTCTGAATGATCCCTACATAGAGTTAGAGAGAGAGAGAGAGAGAGTCAGCAAGGTCAGCTTACATGTAGCCTGCTCTTAAAGTATTCACACGCAAATAGCAGGGTACCAGCTCTCACGGCATCTCCAATGCTTATTCAGCCCATGACTTTTCTGCAGAGGCTGCCAATTATTCTCACTTCATCAGATGCATACGGTGGAAAATACAGAAGATGTTTTTATACACACAAACCATGAAAAAATGGGTATTTATCACTACAAAAGGTTTTCTCTCCACCCACCCCACTCTCCTGCTCTTCTTGTTAAACCCTGGATTTGTGCTGGAAATGGCCCACCTTGACTATCACACACATTGTAAGGAGAGTGATCACTTTAGATAAGCTATTACCAGCAGGAGAGTGGGGTGGAGGGAGAGAAAACCTTTTGTAGTGATAAACACCCATTTTTTCATGGTTTGTGTGTATAAAAACATTTTCTGTATTTTCCACAGTATGCATCCGATGAAGTGAGCTGTAGCTCACGAAAGCATATGCTCAAATAAATTGGTTAGTCTCTAAGGTGCCACAAGTACTCCTTTTCTTTTCACACATGGAAGAAAGCCAGACAAATGCAGTAATAGGAGACCCTCTGCAAACAGCACTGGATGGGTGCATGGGTTTCAATCAGTCACCTCCTCACTTCCTGGGAATTTGCTCCTCTTTTAGTCTGACAGAGTTTGCTCTGCTCCTGGGGATGCTGCAAGGTCTAGTTATACAGGCCTTTTTCTGAGCAGATGGGTTTGGTTTCTGTCTTAGGCAGTTATACTGCTGACCATCACTGCAGTATCTGAGCGCCTTCCACAGAAAATTAATTGCAATAGTGAAGTCGCTAATGCTCTTCATGGAGGCTCTGGCATGTCTCCTTTCTAGAGTCAAAACTCTGCTTGGCGTAGGGGCTGTGGTTTTGATTATTTTTAAAATATTTTAATTCATCTCCTTTTTGGTAGGGTTTAGGTGTGTGTGGGGGGGGGATTTGTGCATTTGGACGTTTAAAGGCGCGCTGGCGCAGTTTACTGACTCGCTTAGACCTCAGCGAAACCAATATTCCCACTGTTATTACTGCTTGCTGTGTGCTCCACAATATCTGTGAGAGTAAGGGGGAGACGTTTATGGCGGGGTGGGAGGTTGAGGCAAATCGCCTGGCTGCTGGTTACACGCAGCCAGACACCAGGGCGGTTAGAAGAGCACAGGAGGGCGCGGTACGCATCAGAGAAGCTTTGAAAACCAGTTTCATGACTGGCCAGGCTACGGTGTGAAAGTTCTGTTTGTTTCTCCTTGATGAAACCCCCCGCCCCTTGGTTCACTCTACTTCCCTGTAAGCTAACCACCCGCCCCTCCTCCCTTCAATCACCGCTTGCAGAGGCAATAAAGTCATTGTTGCTTCACATTCATGCATTCTTTATTCTTTATTCATTCATCACACAAATAGGGGGATGAGTACCAAGGTAGCCCAGGAGGGGTGGTGGAGGAGGGAAGGAAAATGCCACACAGCACTTTAAGCACAGCATTTTAAAAGTTTACAACTTTAAAATTTATTGAATGACAGCCTTCTTTTTTTTGGGCAATCCTCTGTGGTGGAGTGGCTGGTTGGCCGGAGGACCCCCCACCGCGTTCTTGGGCATCTGGGTGTGGAGGCTATGGAACTTGGGAAGGAGGGCGGTTGGTTACAGAGGGACAGCAGTGGCAGTCTGTGCTCCAGCTGCCTTTGCTGCAGCTCAACCATACACTGGAGCATACTGGTTTGGTCCTGCAGCAGCCTCAGCATTGAATCCTGCCTCCTCTCATCACGCTGCCGCCACATTTGAGCTTCAGCCCTGTCTTCAGCCCGCCACTTACTCTCTTCAGCCCGCCACTTACTCTCTTCAGCCCGCCACCTCTCCTCCCGGTCATTTTGTGCTTTCCTGCACTCTGACATTATTTGCCTCCACGCATTCGTCTGTGCTCTGTCAGTGTGGGAGGACAGCATGAGCTCGGAGAACATTTCATCGCGAGTGCGTTTTTTTTTCTTTCTAAGCTTCACTAGCCTCTGGGAAGGAGAAGATCCTGTGATCATTGAAACACATGCAGCTGGTGGAGAAAAAAAAAAGGGACAGCGGTATTCAAAAAGACACATTTTATAAAACAGTGGCTACACTCTTTCAGGGTAAACCTTGCTGTTAACATTACATACATAGCACATGTGCTTTCGTTACAAGGTCACATTTTGCCTCCTCCCACCGCGTGACTACCCCCTCAACCTTCCCCCCCTCCCTGTGGCTAACAGCGGGGAACATTTCTGTTTAGCCACAGGCAAACAGCCCAGCAGGAATGGGCTCCTCTGAGTGTCCCCTGAAGAAAAGCACTCTATTTCAACCAGGTGACCATGAATTATATCTCACTCTCCTGAGGATAACACAGAGAGATAAAGAACGGATGTTGTTTGAATGCCAGCAAACATACACTGCAATGCTTTGTTCTACAATGATTCCCGAGTACGTGTTACTGGCCTGGAGTGGTAAAGTGTCCTACCATGAAGGACGCAATAAGGCTGCCCTCCCCAGAAACCTTTTGCAAAGGCTTTAGGACTACATCTAGGAGAACCGCAAATGCCAGGGCAAAGTAATCCTTTCACATGCTTGCTTTTAAACCATGTATAGTATTTTAAAAGGTACACTCACCAGAGGTCCCTTCTCCGCCTGCTGGGTCCAGGAGGCAGCCTTGGGTGGGTTCGGGGGGTACTGGCTCCAGGTCTAGGGTGAGAAACAGTTCCTGGCTGTCGGGAAAACCGGTTTCTCCGCTTGCTTGCTGTGAGCTATCTACAACCTCCTCCTCCTCCTCCTCCTCATCATCTTCTTCGTCCCCAAAACCTGCTTCCGTATTGCCTCCATCTCCATTGAAGGAGTCAAACAACACGGCTGGGGTAGTGGTGGCTGAACCCCCTAAAATGGCATGCAGCTCATCATAGAAGCGGCATGTTTGGGGCTCTGACCCAGAGCGGCTGTTCGCCTCTCTGGTTTTCTGGTAGGCTTGCCTCAGCTCCTTCAGTTTCACGCGGCACTGCTTCGGGTCCCTGTTATGGCCTCTGTCCTTCATGCCCTGGGTGATTTTCACAAAGGTTTTGGCATTTCGAAAACTGGAACGGAGTTCTGATAGCACGGATTCCTCTCCCCAAACAGCGATCAGATCCTGTACCTCCCGTTCGGTCCATGCTGGAGCTCTTTTGCGATTCTGGGACTCCATCATGGTCACCTGTGCTGATGAGCTCTGCATGGTCACCTGCAGCTTGCCACGCTGGCCAAACAGGAAATGAGATTCAAAAGTTCGCGGTTCTTTTCCTGTCTACCTGGCCAGTGCATCTGAGTTGAGAGTGCTGTCCAGAGCGGTCATAATGGAGCACTCTGGGACAGCTCCCGGAGGCCAATACCATCGAATTGTGTCCACAGTACCCCAAATTCGAGCCGGCAACGTCGATTTAAGCGCTAATCCACTTGTCAGGGGTGGAGTAAGGAAATCGATTTTAAGAGCCCTTTAAGTCGAAATAAAGGGCTTCATTGTGTGGACGGGTGCAGGTTTACATCGATTTAACGCTGCTAAATTCGACCTAAAGTCCTAGTGTAGACCAGGGCTGGGATACCAGTCCCTGGTCCTTTCACGGCTATGGTCTCTATTCCCCAGCTATGTCAGTTATCTTTCGAATACAGAACAAAAATTCAAGTTGAGCCTGCTGACATGGGATACGGGGACACTGTCAGATCACTAGAGGGCAGTAGGCATGCGCTGCTTAGGGCAGTAGGCGTGCACTGCTTAGTCCATTATAAACACAACCCTGGGTAATATGGCTGAGACCATCTCTGCTTAAATAAAGCCCAAGAGTGCGCCCCATCTCTCTTTGACATGCTGTGTTTTCTCTCTGCCAGGGTGAGTCAGAGCAAGTCCTTGGTTTTCAAACACAGGTGTGGGTTTGCTGGCTGCCAACTTAAGTGGGGGGAAGTCAGAGGTGGAGCAATTTAGCATAGGCTCTTTTGGGAGGCTGGTTAGGTTTCTCTCTGCCTCATTCTTTGTGAAAATGTGACATCTGAACAGGAACAACACTGACAATGCTCAGGGAAGTGATTTGTGAATTTTGGACACATTCAAACGGACAGATCTGTAACGGGGGAAGGAAAGCTACACAGAAGCCTGACACCAAACATCACTTAAATAATGGGCCAAAGCCTGAGGCACTGAGTGCCTGCCATTCCCACTGAAATCAGTGGCAGCAAGAGACTGAATCCAGTCAAATCTCATTTATCTTGCTGCCTTTAGAGGGTTTTATACAATTACTATGGGTTTTATACAATTACTTATTTATGGCAAGCCCGCTCTGCTAACAGCCCCTCCCCCGCACCCCGATCTCATCCCACTCCAAAAATGGAGGCTTTATTACATGACGGCTGGAGAACTCTATTTCGAGAAGGAAAGGATGGTGTTTGAAAGGCTTCTTGCTATTTCACATTTGGCTAGTAGTGAGATAGTGTATGTGAATGGAATGGAAAAGCCTCAGCGAACAACATCACAAATCATTTTGCTACAGACTCGCCCAGCTCTGGAGCAAGATAAATGCCCATACCAATAGCGACACTTTACAACATTGCATGAAGCCAGATGCATAGCTGCTGTAATTCTGCTTTGACAGTAAATGTCAAGCATGTCCTATGACTTTGTTGAGTTCTCCTGACTTTCCCTCATCCCTCTTGTGAGGAGCAGAGCAGATGTCAGAGCAACAGCAGCAGGGTCAGTGTGTGCCTCTTGAAACACTATCATATTAAGGAAATCCAATAAGCACAGCCTGAAAATGAAACATATTTCTCCAGGGCTGTCACAAGGCTTATCTGGAGATGCAGATTTCATCTGGAACAGCCAAGAGAATAGGCCTTCAAAAGCAGTGAGATACTTGGTCCATTTGACTAGAGCTTCCTAAATCCTAGAGGCAACTCTATGGGTAGCAATGATTTCTGCCGTGCTTACAGTGGAATGGGGAGCACCCACAGAGAAATCTGTGCCCGTCTCTTGCTTGGTTTAATTATTTAAGGGACAAGGGGACAGTCCCAATGTCCCTCAGGAGGACACTGATTTAACCTGCATTCTTCCTTGTCCCTACAACTACCACTCTCCAAATCAGAACTTGCCACATGTATTACTTCCCAAAGCTGAGGGCATGTAGGACACCCAGGCTAAAGGAAGAGGCACTGCACTGAAAACAGTATTACAGCCTGTGCTGAAGGAGCAGAAGCCATAGCTAGGACAGGCACCAATCTTTGCCTTGCTGCTCTCTGCAATCCTATTTTTGAAAGGACAAACTTGATTTATCAGTACAGGCTATGGCACAGCCTGGGCAGCTAGTGCAGGGAGAGCGTGAGCTGGGAGAGGGGCAGAAATCTCGTCCCTTTTTCCATTTTTGTTTTTGCAAACATCACAGTGATGACATGGAACAAGTCATTTGTAACAGAATCCTTTATCATTGCTCCACTTCCCTAATACAAACACCCCCTCGCAGTACTCAGGGCTCGTGAAGGACACTTTTTGGCAGAAGCCCGTGGCAGATGTGGCTGAGTTCGGGTTAGTCAATGGCTGTCCTTGCCCTGGCTGCTGCCTGGGACCCCAATTACAGCTTCCACTATGGGATCTTCCTTCACACATCTCTCAAGCCCCTCCTTAGACAAGTTTATCTCCAGTGAGTCTGCAAGGACAGAAGGGAGACACCGCCCCACAATCTGCTGTTTGGGGACCAGTCCTGCTTTCTCTTCACCCCAGCAGAAATGCCTATGGTACATTTTAAGTACAAAAACTAGCTGGCATTCAAAAATCACCTGGATGTTTACTACAGAAAACGTCACAGGGGATAGGAAGACATTAGCGATTAGCCATATCTGAAAAATCTCTCAGAGCTTTCTCTACAGATCCTTGGCCATCAGAGAGTTGGGAATTCAGCCCTTTCTACTGGAACTATTTATCCATCTTAACTATTTATATGGCTCCCATAACCATACTGCCTGAGCACCTCACAATCTTTAATCTATACATCCTCACAATAACCTGGGAGCAAGGGGAGTGCTATGACCACCATTTTACAGATGGAAAGCAGAGACCAGAGAGGCTCAGTGATTTGTCCAAGGTTACAGAAAAAGGGAACTGAGACACAGATACACAGAACAGGGTCTCCCGAGTCAGAGCCTTCCACTAGATAATCCTTCCTCTTCCTTCTCTGGGCCTGCCTGGTCACCACTGAACTCCTTTAAAGAGAAAAGGAGTACTAGTGGCACCTTAGAGACTAACCAAGTTATTTGAGCATAAGCTTTCGTGAGCTACAGCTCACTTCATCGGATGCATTCAGTGGAAAATACAGTGAGGAGATTTATATACACACAGAACATGAAAAAATGGGTGTTATCATACACACTGTAAGGAGAGTGATCACTTAAGATGAGCTATTACCAGCAGGAGAGCGGGGGGGGGGGGGGGAGGTGGTGTACTCCTTTTCTTTTTGCGAATACAGACTAACACGGCTGCTATTCTGAAACCTGTCCTTTAAAGAGCCTTTTCCAGCTCTCTTCTGGTCCTTTAAATCTAGGAGAGGAATGCAGTTGCCTCCCTAAGGTGGCCATTTGACATGGACTGCTGCAGGCTACTCCTTCCCTTCCAGCTGGTAAGTAATTTTAGCTCTTATTAGGTTCTCCCTCTCTCATCCATAACACACATGTATGGCAAACACATAGGCCAAAACGTAGCTCAAGCCTCACATCAAGGCAGACAAGTTTTACCGCACCTGAACTTTGGGACCAGCTGTAGACCATGCAGCACTAACATTTCATGCCAATAGCCCCACAAAAAAGCCCCTTCATGCACTGTAATCCCTCGAGCACCTGATTAACATTCTGGTACAGGCATCTACGGTAGATTAAGTGCCAAGCCCAATGAAGCACAGCTCTACTAATTGAAGGCAGAGCTGATGTGTTCTAGTGATCCGTAGTCAGGCAGAGTATGAAACCAACAGATGCCACCAATTTAAATGCAACACATGAACTTCTGTACCTGCTGGACTGGAATAATTTCCAGCAGAATTCCTGTTGCTAAGCAGACATGGTTATCCTGACTAATTATCAACTGCTTCCACAATAAGGCCCTCTTTTCATGTGTCCAGAATGGAGGGGGCGGGGTGGGGAGAGAAGAGCACAAGCACTAAGGACAACGAGGGAACTAAGGCTTAGCAAAAGCCAATCAGGAAAAAAATCACAGTAGCAGAAAATTTGGGCACATTTCATTGTAATTATAGCCAACTCTCTGTTGGTGAAGACATGAGTGTGAATAATTCATGCATTAAACTCTATGGACTCCCCCAGAAATAATCTTAGCGGTCATAAATGGTCATATTTCACTGACTGGCTGGGCTTCTATTTCTTTACATTGGTTGCCCCAGAAGGTCTCCACAGAAAGGGGGGAAAGGACACTCACCATGGCATGAGTCCTTTTTCCACTGCATGCATCCAATGAAGTGGGTTTTAGCCCACAAAAGCTTATGCTCAAATAAATTTGTTAGTCTTTAAGGTGCCACAAGTACTCCTCGTGCTTTTTGCTGATACAGACTAACACAGCCACCACTCTGAAACCTGTCATAGTATGGTGGTGGATGGCTTTTGAGAAACTTGGGCTAAAGCCCAGAAAGAACCTGAGAGTTTTATAGGTCAGTTTTTCTTAATAGCAAAGAGCTTTATATAGCCCCATGCTGCCATTTTTAACCATTTTCCAGTTTCAGTGAACTTGTTTGCAAGTAGCTGGCAAATTAACTCTGATTTGAGTATATAATAGGAGAAACCTGGACACTGTATATATTGTGCAAACCTCAGCCTGGGGCTATTATTATTATTATAATAGTGCCTAGAGGCCCACACTGGAATTGGAGCCTTGTGCTTCAAGGCACAGGCACAAACACAAACACAGCAAGAGACAGTTCCTGCCTTGAAGAGCTTACAAGCTAAAAAGGAAAGATGGGAACAGGGAGCAAAGGGGAAACTGAGGCACAGAGAGGCAAAGTGACTTGCTCAAGGTCATGCAAGGGGTCAGTGGCAGAACCCAGAATAGAACCCAGGTCCCTGGGCTTCCAGTCCAGTACTCCACACATCAGACCACACTACCTCCCTGGCCAGGAGGCAACGTAGGCCAGGAGTGGGAGGAGGGAAGGAACAAATTCTGCTCTCACTCAAACTGGTCTAAGTTTGGAATAACTATTGGCTCCCATGGAGCTACTCAGGAGTCCCACCTGTACCACAACAAAGCACCACCCGGAACAAAGCCACAAAACTGGCATTTGCCAGAAAGTGTTACTGCCCCTAGACAAATTGGTTTCCTCACCCAAACCTTTTAGAACCTCTCTTGGCCATGCTGAAGGGAATTAAACAACAAGGCAACAGAGGGCTTGAGAAACTCTTTCCAGAAAGGGGCTTTTAACTGCAGCTGCCCACTCTTTAGGCTCACTTTTCTCCAATTTGGGAAACTGTATGCTGCAGTTACTGTGGATGTTTTGTTCCAAGTTTCTTCCATACACTGCAATGAGTTGACAGATTCAAAAGAGAAATCTTTCCAGCAGCAGTGTCATCATGGAAGGCCCCGAACTCAGTAGATCCCATGTTCTTTCACCGCATGAATGGTACAATCAATTCTGTATCCTTGAGCACCACAACAGCTGTTTGCAACAGCCTGGGTGCTGGTTTGGGAGTGGATCAGGATATAGGCTGTAGAGAAATGTCTACATAGAAATGGCCAAAACTGATCACCAGGAGAACAGCATGGGAGTCTCATGTCCTGCTGGCAGTTTGGGAGTGAATGGGGGAAAAAAAGGATTTTGTTCCCTCCTCAAACCTGCTATAGTTCCCCTGCAAAAGGCCCCTTTATTATGATTTTGCGCGGAGTATGAGGAGTTGGCCATAAGCCACTGTCTATGCTAGTGAAATTTGGTGTGCCAATCACTTTTTGATCTCCCTAGCATGCTCGTATCACCCCACCACATGACCATGCACCTAAATGTTCCCAATGGTGCACATGCAACAGCGCCTCCGTCCGTATAGCCAGCATGTGGTCAACGTTACTGCAGACGGGAAGTGCTGGTATGATAGCCCTAATGGCATTGTTAGTCTTTCCATCACTACCTCACAGAGCACAGCCCAGATAAGTCGCCTGCTCTTTTATCTGCCCTCTTCTAACAAGGGATTAAATTTGCAGAAGCCACTTACCTGTACAAATTGCTCTACCCTCACCAGAGAACTCATTTGTATGCTGTTTTGCCAGCATCTGCTTCTTCTGCAGCACTGTCTGGAGATCAGCTTCTTTAGCAGCAAACGTGTCTCCAGGGAAGCTTTCCCATTAGCATTCTGCCTGCTGGTCAGAGGTAGATGTGGAGCACTGACGATCATCTGGGGGAATAAGGAAACCACTCACAACTGAACTGTGGATATATCAATGAAGCATTAAATGTTAAGGGAAACAGATGAGTTGTAGCACAAGAGTTTGCATTAAATGACCATGTACTAACACATCATGCTTCACCCTCTGGTCTAGCTGAGACAAGAGATACATAAAGGAGGCTTTCGCCACTTTTACCACCCCCATCCTCCTCTCACCTCCATTATTCTGAGGCTGGACAGTGGGTCTTAGGGCTTCTCCAATTTGTACTAATCCCAAAGAGCAGTTACGCCATCCAGGGATTACCAGAGAATACAACACTCCAGTCATGTTCTTCCTCCAGCCCCACACACAACACTAGAAGCGGCATAGCGTCAGCTACCTCAGTTCTATGCGGCCAGGGGAACCTTCAGCTGGCAAGTTATGCTGGCTTTACATCCTCTTTGTAGTGCAGGATCCAAAGGGGCCACATCAGGAGCCAGAAGCTTGCACGATACGTCTGAATTCCTACCTGTAAGGCTATAGCCGCCTCAACGATGACTGCTTCTCCTGTATTTATGGGGGTTCCATAGTATTTAATAGAACATGGAGACAACAACTCTGCCCCATCTACAGCATTATTCTATCAATATTAAAGTCACCTGGAATCGTGACAGAAACTGTGGCTTCAAAAGATTTATTACATATATTTGTACATATTTTACATAAATGGAATGTTAAACATTTAACCTAAATCAATAAAAAAATATTTAATTCATGATTACATATTGACAGACCATCAAAAAATGTACCTCAACACAAGTCATCTTCCAATCATACTGCTCAATTACAAAATTTACAAACAGGTTTTCCATTGCAAATTACATTCTTACTTATGCTCAGGGTAATGAAGGAAGACTTCTTGTCCATTACCATTACAAATAATTGTAGCATTCATAAACTATTACAGAGTTCCATCTAGCACTTTGTGGACACTTAATTTTGTGGGAATCAGGTATGTGAACCGGTGGCTACACTTCATCTTCTACCATCAGATTGCTACTTAATGGTAAGAAGAGAGTATGAGAGTTTCTCAGGCAAGTGGAAAGGTTCCAGGCTGAATCACCACTTGTTAAAATAGGTTGAAGTTTTTAAATTAAGACATTCATTAAAACATCCCATCAATAACTGAGCTGCCCCCAGCTCCTCAAGTGCAACAGTTTGGCAAAGTCAGCGAGATGAGTGTTATCTGCTATACAACGATCAACACTTCAGCTTTATTTTGACATGTATTTTAACAGAACCCCTTATATACACGGCCATACACCTGGATGTTCCCATTAATTATCATAACCCTTGGGAGCTTGTGACCACCTATATTTACCATTCAAATACTTTCCCATATAACAAAATAAGGGTTTAAAAAAAAGAAAAAAGGAGAGCTTCTGAGGAAACAAGAACTATTTACTGGCGGGCGGACAGATTTACTGACATTTGAAACTCTGCCAGAGTCTACTCAATCTTATCATTGAAAACCTTTGTCAAAGCAGACACCAGGGCAAAAGTCTCATACAAACATGTGAATTAGGAGCTGACACAAGGAGATGAGCAAGTAGCAAACAGATAGGCAGTAGGCACGGTAGCTACTGTACATTGGCAACTCGTTAGGGAAAGGATCATCGATGCCAGAGCCAGCAAAGGCATACAAGCCAATCAAGTCCAATCTCCTGAAAATGCAAATATGCTATAGTTATTTATTGGAGAAAATCTTCCATTAATTAGTAATGCCTCTCATTAAGTCAGTTTACAATTTATTCAGTCGGTGAGTCCAACATACCCTTTAGGAAAGTAAGTTAGCCTGTAGTCTTTAGAACACTATACAGTGGCCTGAGAAATTTCTGGAACAAGGATTTCAAAACCTCAGTTTCAATTTCAGAAGCACAACCAAAAACCAGACAAATGCACACCTAAAGCACAGTCAGGGTCCTCCATTCCAACAGGGAAAACATCTTGAATGTCTGTCATGACAAAGCTAATTTTAGAAGTGAGCAATGCACTTCTCTATTCAACATGTGCAATAGAGCACAGTGCCAGTTCTTAAAGAATTCCTCAGTTCTTGAGGAATTTCATACCTCATAAAGAAAGCGTGGCCACTGTTTTGTTCAGAATCTCCTAACTCAGGCCATTTCAGATGGCAAAAACTTAACCGATGCAAGCTGCACCTACTGACAAAAGCACCTTAGAAGTGGTTGAAACAAGAGTTCTGACAACCGTTCCTCTTCCAATGAGATGATGTAATATATTTCTAACTGACATCAATGGGAGCTTTGTCCAAAGAAGAGGGGTAGAATAAATTCCTAAAAATCATATAGCATGTTGGGGTAGGAGGAGGAAGAAAAGAAGAAAGTTTTGAAGCTTATGCATAAAGTTTGAGGGACCGAAGCATGAACAGCAAAATTTTGCCCTGGTCAAATCAGAGCTGAGATTACCCATTGGCATGGATAAATTGGGAATCTTCATGTTAGCATTTCTGTATTTGGTCAGAAACCTCCCTCTCTACCACAGAATTAGCAAATACGAACAGCTACACTGAATCTAAGTGGAATCATTCGATTCCATGTGATAAAGCAGCTCAGATTCACAGAGACTTGGAAAGGAACTAAAAGCAACTGCATTTTAAAAAATATTGTTTGTCCCTGTTTCCTTAGAGATATCAAGGATATTATGTTTTAACTTTTTCCTCTGGAAGATTGAAGAGGGAACGTCTTAAGCCCTCAAATAAAAGAGTAGTCATGCTCAATCTTCCAGCAAGAAAGCTTTTCTCCCAAGTTTTTGTCAGGAGGAGTTAGATATTATAACCAAAATGAAGTTTCAAAAGTTTGGACGCAGAATTCTTTTTCCCCACAATTGCTTAGGTTTTAGTCTTTTGTGAGGTCATAATCTTACTAGCTCTCAAGTCCTATAGCAAAAATGGAACTCAATCCAAGATACCAGTAATCTTTCAGGGGAGTTTGTTTTTTTAAATCATAAAGCCCCCTTTACATCATAAAGAAGCAAAAAAGATCACAAAGAATTCACTCTCACCATTGTGGGTTACCTTCAAATGCCCCATTTAGAAATACTGCAGTACACTTCCCCTTGCACACTAGAATTGGGAGACGCTCTAATTTATAATCTATTTAAACTCATTTTTCCCCAAAATAAAATACTGCAAATCTGAAGTAGGCTCACCATCTTTCCTTTTACATTCCACTCAAATCAATGTCTAGAGTACATGCACAGGGAAAACTAGCTCACTTTTTAAAACGTAAGTGATAAGATGCATTAAAGATACAAAAGACAGGATAATCACAGTCCTGTAACTGTTAGCAGCATGGCTCTCTGATACCATATGGGATGATCATATAAAACCCAAATCATAACCACTCCCTATCACCTTTAAACAAAGCTTTTACTTGAGACATTTGTTATATAATGAGGTTTTGAAAAACTTCACATTTCATGTCTTTTCTTCTCTTTCCGGTAAGCAGTATGTATATGGCAAACCTGAGTATGGGAATTAGTTCACTCTTACATACTTGGGCAAGATATAGGTCAGATGAAAGAAAAACTGAAGCAATATAAATTGGTAATCTATATATTTACAAGCAGAAAATGTGGCACACCTAAATTTTATCATAACCTATTGGCTTCTAATGTGTGGAAGTGTGGTCTTCCTCTACTCAAAGAGTGAACACTTTTTCCCCGATTGAAGCACAGTGGTCCAAGACCTTGGAGAGGGGATATTTTTAAAATGAGGGTAGGTTTAATTATGTAGTTATGTGTACACAAATTTTTTTCATAATATTGACAAAACAGTTTGAGATGAAAGCTTAAATATATGAACTTCCACAAGGAGTTCTGAATACAAGCTTTTGTTTAATCTTTCCATATTGTTCCAAGCTTTGTCCACATTAAGGATCTAACCCTTCTTTCCTTGGCTCAGCCAAAACTTCCATTGACTTCAGAAGGTGTTTTGGATGAACCAGGAATATAGGATTAGGCCCCAGGACTGAAGCCATCCTAACAACCTCAAACAGACCAAAAAAATCCACTCTCTCCTATGGCCGGGGGGCAAACCTGCAAGCAACCACCATATATAAAAGTGACAGCTGCTGGCATGTTTCAACTACAGCATGGACGTTGGCCTTAAACTTCTGACAGTGATATAAATGCTGGGAAGTTTGTCCTTTCAACCGTTTACTTATTCATTTAAATCTAAAAGATTCAGGTTTTGAAAAAGCAGCAGATGAATTGAAAGAGTGAACTACTGAAATCACGCGTAAATGGTAAACAGATTCATGTTTAAATACTGATCGACTTAATCCCTAAACCAAAGACTACCTACAACCTTGAAGCACAGGACACCAAAACACGCCAAACTTTCATTGTAAATTACAGAGGAATTTCTGCTCCAGCAGTTGAGCCCATAGTTTGTTGTGGATGGAGGATGATGAGCACTAAAGTGTATTGTGCACTGACATTGTATGGCACGAAGCCAACAACAAATGTTAAGTCAATATAAATGCAAAAAAACTTACTTTCAGAAGATGTGATTCAAAATACCAGGAAAGTAAGCCTCTAGGTAACAAGGTCCCTAGTAAAATATTACAGCTGCTGTAACTTTTTCTCCTTAATACAAGGAAGCAAAACAATTCCCTGCAACAACAGAACCTATACTGGAAACTACTGTCATACATTTGTCAGGAGAGCTTGTTTGATGTGACTTCACAGTTTAAAACATGCCAGAGTCTGATCCTGCTCCCACTGAAGTCAAAGACAGTATGATTGGGACCTATAACTATAGATTCAATTGAGAATGATTATGCAAGGAAAAAAGGCCCATGGAAACTGTACTGTCAGTTGTCAGCATTAACCAGTTTTGATTGCGTCAGATTTGCAGCATAGCAAAAGGCATTTCACAGCATAAAGTTTAAGGGAAAAGGTTTTCTAGACTAAAGACATTTGACAAGCAAAATGGGGGATTCTTATAGTGTGCAGTGCACTAATTCTTCTGGGTTGCAGCAGTTGCTCCTTTACTTGCCCTTTTTAATATGAAACAGCAGCAACAGAGGAGAAAAATATAGACTTAAGAATACAATGCAAGCCAAATTGAACACACAAAACAATACTTAGACACTTAAGAAAAAGGTGTTGTGTAATTTATTTTTGCTGTTGAAACTTAACTAAAAATTGCAGTCACTAATAACTATTCATAATCTGTCCCTATAATGTGAAAATTCAGAAGCTGCTACATATCTGTCCTTGAAATAAAGTAATGTTTTCCTTCTCAGCCATGATATCTGTTCCATTTTGTTTTGTTTTTTAATTATGATGTTTTATAGGAACTAATATTTATCCACATTTTGTTTGCTGTTTCCCCCTATGGATATCCCATGTTTGATAAGCTCTGGTAAGACAAATATAGCAATATAGTAATAAATTAAACAAATGCAGGTGCATGTTAAAAATACTGCCAATGCTAATGTCCACATAAACAGATAAGTGATGTTAGGTGCAAATTACTATGGCTCTGCTATCAAGAAAATTTCAATTAAAAAAATTACGTATAAAAGTGTTTCAAAAGTTAATGCAAATCCCTCCCCCATGTAATATTACTCTAATGACTAGGAAACTTCACCGTGCCCATTTTCGCAGTTATTCCCCTAAACCTAAAGAGGCAGCCTGGAGATGAAAGTAGTACAATAAAATAATTACCTGAAACATTTAAAAAAAATACCCGTTAAACAAATTACCTTAACTGGCAGCACTTAAAATTGGTAAATTCTCCCATTAAAAAAAATTGCATAGCTGCAAGATTATGCTTTGCTGCATTTTTTAACCACAAGCTGTAAAACAGAGAAATTTTAGTACACTTAAATAGCAATACAGCATACAGATTTCAACAATTCTATAGCTCAATCAATATAAATTAGTCACCTGCCTTGGTTTTACTCTTTGGACAGCATTCTGACAAAGGTTTAGTTAAAAAAAAACTTTGAAATACAGTTTTCCTACGTGGAAGTAGTTTTCATTTCCTGTTCTTGAAGGTGAAGAATGTACCGAGGACTGGGTGTGAATTCAGTGAATAAGGTCACACTGCTAGACTGCTTGCCATTTACTCTTCTTCAGCCTAAGAGAAGATTAAAACACTTCCACTCAAAAATATGGTGATCCTCATGAAAACGTTTCAGATAATGTTGATTTAGAATGCATCAGTTTCCATTTGGGTAAGAAGAGAGACAACCATAATCTGCTTCGGCAGAGAACTTAAAAGTTAGACTGAAATTAGTCACTTTGGCCTTTCAAGTACAAATCATCAATAATATCTGTGGCGAGAAGATTGTTACAGGATGTGCAGCATTTTCAAAATCCTGCGTGTCCTTTATATGCGTGTTTGGTATGCTGACTCTACTGGCAAGCAATTGGACTCTGCAGTTTTTGTTCCACACGATTGTCTATGGTTGCCTTTTCCAGATACACAGGAACACAAGTCGGAAGCCAAGTATGTTCTCAAATTTGTGTTCAAAGACAGAATCTCAAATCCTCTGCATTTTCTGATCCATGTAAGAATCTGTGAGAAAACCAATAAAAATAACAAACATTACTTTCCCAGCTAGTTCAGTAAATTTTACACAGTAAGGCATTACTTGCTAAAACAAAGAAATCCAAGGAAAAATCTACTTTTCCCTACTTCATATTTTCTAGTGTATACTCCTATCTTCTACAATCTAAACACATTTGATTTAGCATCCTGAAACATCCTTAAGTATTTTCAAAGATAAACATAATTGCAAACAGCATCTTGTGCTTCTCCTGTAGTTCAATACACCAGGGACAATACGTGATGCTCTATGTACCGTACATATCCAAGTAAAAAATTAGTCCTAGTCTTGTGCTAAGGGGAAAACAGTTGTCCCTGCAGTAATGTGTTCTTTGGCAAGTGTGATGGTGTATATAACCCTTGCTAATACGACTGCAGTGTGCAGGGCCTCCCCGAGGATTCAGGGGGCCTGGGGCAAAGCAATTTCGGGGGCGCCTTCCAGTGGCGTAGCCAGGTGGAGTGAACAGGGGAAGCGGAAATAAAAAAAAAGGTGCCAGCCGCTTGTACTCACCCGGGTCTTCAGCAGCACTGAAGGACCCGCCGCTGAAATGCCGCTGAAGACCCGGAGCGCCGCTGTGAGAGTAAAAATTAAAAAGACGCCACTTGTGCTCAGTGGGAGAGAAGCCGCTACACTACTGGCCCCTTCCCTGTCTCAGACCTCAGACTTCAGACATTCTCGTGGGGGGCCCCTGTGGGGCCCAGGGCAAATTGCCCACTTGCCTCCCCCTTCTGGGCGGCTTTGGCAACTTGAGCTGCAACACATACTTGTGAAGTAAAATAGAAAGCAGAACACTGAAACAGTGCTTCAAAAAAACACTATATTGTTTGGGGCAAAGAGTTCACATTCCATGATTGCCATAGTGTTTAATATAAATCCTAACGTGTTTTGTAATGGTTGGAGCTGGTAGTTTAGTGTAAGCAAGATACCTAGAAGAATAAAAATGCCCCTTTTGTCCTTTGACTCTAACTGGTTTCTAATCTAAACCATTAATGCACACTACTAAAGCAGGAAAGCTTTGTATCTGTGTGAATGGGGATGGGGCAGGCTGGGTTGTAACATTTTACATGCATTGCAGAAAAAACAATGAATGATCAAATGTGTGTTAAAAGTAAAAAGCAGGATCTCACTGAAAACTATGTAACATCCCAAATGAAAAAGCATATTTCAGTCCAGAAAGAATGGTCATTCACTAAACTATCAAAAATTCTGGGGATTTGGTATTTTAAAGTAGGTTTAGGTTACACAACAAAATAATCTTAAAGATAATTAAAATTTAAATGGCACTGCTGCTTGTCACTTTGCAGTAGTTAAACTACTATATCATTCCTGCAATATATCATTCCAGACTACTGGATGTGAGGGTGCAGAAACCATTTATGAATTCTAGTAATTTAAATAGATAGTAAACATACTGGAACGACAATGAATTTACCAATTATTTTAGGTCAAACTTAGATCTGAGTGCATATTTAATGTACTTATTCATATAGTTCTTATTACTGAAAAGATCAATGAAATATGTAAAAAGAAGTTACCTACAAAAGAGGAATCTTGTCAGTCTCAATCTGAAGGGTGTTCAGGACAAGATCTATTTACTTCAAACCACTCATCTATGCAGCTGTTGGAACATAAAAGAATAAGTGGAAGGTAAGTATATTAATTACAATTACCAACAATTGTTATGTGTACTAAATAATTTTATCATAGTTAAAATGAAGTGACTAGAAACATTTGAGAGCGGTGGAGGGAGGGAGAGAGAGAGAGAGAGAATGTGTTTTAAGACCTAAGCTACTTTAGCTAGAATGCGTGGAACAGTACTTGTCAACATTCACTAATCATTTTTAACATCCCAAAATCCCAATAAAGAATATGGTGCTATGTGTTAAACATTAGAGAAATCAATGTATACATTGTTGTAACTGTTTATTTCATAAGTTTTAACAAATTTACAAATTACTTTTTGTACTTTTCATTTCTTAAGAGGGACACCATCACCCTAATCACACTGCTGCCTGCAATTTTTGCCCATTGTTACAAACACCATCTAAAATGAATATAACAACGATCAGAGAAAAAATATACATTTTTCAATTTTAGTCTGTGCAGTCAACAGAATGTGTGTGCAAGTATAGTGATTTTTACTGTTTCCCCTGTATAGAAAATTTCCCCCTTTTGTTTCTGGGAGTTTTTCAAACAGCAACAAGAGAAAAACATAAAAGAAAAATTTGACTATAAGAGCAAATATATTTGGGTAGGGGAGGATAACTCAAGATGCAGTACCTCAAAGTGCTTTTAGTTAAGTTTTGTTTTAAATTGACGAGATGTTAATTGTCCTTTTAAAAAACCCTTATAAAAATTACCCAACTGATGTTGGCATATGGCATTTTATCTGGGAAGAATACAGCATGAAGAATACTTGCCCTTTATGATATATGCATAGACAAGGCAGTCGTGCTATAGTATCCCCCTGCTGCAGCTCTTCCAGGCATATTGCACACTCCCCAGCATCTTTACTCAGTACATCCTCTGTAGAAACAGGGCAGTTTTAAATGGTTAACAAAATCACTTAAGACAAAACTTTCATAGCATTAACACAATTATACAAAAAAAATTTTTTAAGGTTCCCTTTCAGTACAATATGTGAAATTAAGCATGTTTATAATGTCTGTTGATGTAAGAGATATGTTATCAGGAGTCTTAAGAGATCAAATTAAACTATGGCTGTGATCTAGTCTCTGACTAAACGCAGTTCTACAACAAAGGAAAGAACTGTAGGACTCTTCCTCCTGCCCAAGTGCACATATTCTGCGTTAATTACACACGTGAGCTAGAGCAGCAGTTCTCAAATTTTTTTTTTTTACTGGTGAGCCCTTTCACATAGCAAGCTTCTGAGCGTGACCCCCCATATAAATCAAAAACACTTTTTAATATATTTACCACCATTATAAATGCTGGAAGCAAAGCAGTGTTTGGGGTGGAAGCTGACAACTCGTGACCTCCCTGAGGGGTCCCGACCCCCAGTTTGAGAACCCCTGAGCTAGAGGCTAAGGCTGAGCCTGGACAAGTGGCTTTTCTGAAAAGAACGCTGCAGACTGACACCTTCTACATCCTCCACCCTCAAAATAATTAACAAGGTAGAGACCCCATTGGCATCCTCCCTCTAAGTATCCAGTCCCTCCTCCTGCTTCCTCCCATTCATCCCTCCACTGTATGCCTGGCACCTTCCCCACCAGCTCTCCTGTGAGTACCTGGTTCTCCTGTTGCCTCCCACCTACCCCAACTATCAGTCTGTTTCCCATCCCCACTTGCTTCCCTCCAATTTCTATCATCCGGCCCTTCGAGAGGAACCAGAGTTCTCCAGCACTGCAAAGTGCTGTATGGTATGGCTCACAGACGCTAAATTCTGCAAGGTATCCTGATTTTGTGGAATCAATACTACGTCCCATAGTTAATGGGGAGATTAGGCAGTTGCAAGAAATGCACAGAACACACTTTTAAAATGGAAGTTTTCATGAAAAATATTAGAGTGATATAGTAAAAGCTGTATTTTCTGGATACTTTTTTTAGCAGCAGTGGATGATGCAGAATTCAGCATCGGTACAACACAGATCAAGAGGCCTGACTACCCGAATTTAGGCCCATTGTACTGTAGAGTACAAGACATAGCCTAACGTGGACTTACACAGTGCAAGGACCATAACCAAAAGGCACATTCAGGGTGTCACAGCAGAAGAGCTGGCAATCCATGGCAGAGCTGAATGATACACTCCTAAAAAGGGTACATGTGTGCTGAATGCTCCTTTTGACTAACTGTTTAGGGTACTGGTTTTCAAAGCGCAGGGCACAAGGTTATCACAGGACCAGGCAACAGCAGGGAGAGGGTATGGGGGACAGCCCTTCCCCAGCAGTAGCCTGCTGCTCTCCCCACTTCTCCCCAAGTTGGGAACTCAAACTCTGCATGCTTGTCCCAGCCCAGCCATTCATACAGCCACAGCCATGTGTATTTTACATACTTCAGAGCCTGCAGAAGCAAGATACTCTGTGCTCCGGGGGGGAGGAGAAAGAGAAGAGGGTGTGGGAGTGGAAGGAGCGGAAGAGATGAGAAGCCCCAGTCTGCGCCATGCTGCCATGAGCTCCTCTAGGGATGGAGCCAGCGAGGTTCTGCTGCACTCCTGGCATAAGCCACCTACTTCCCTTAGTAAATCACTTTCTACCCCGGTCCCCGGATGGGTGGGGAAGGGCCTGTTATGCAACTCCCAAGGAGAAGGAGGGGTTAGCAAAAACGTTTGGGAACCTCTGATTTAGGGCATTCAGCACATCACTCCAAAATCATGAGATTTTTAAAAAATGTAGGATTTCATGATTCTCAAAAGAGAGAACACTCAAATCTTTAAATTGTTCTCATAGGTCTTTCTATAGTGCTCATCATCATACTAGCTACAT